ATAATTATAAAACAATCAATACAAGCCTAGTAAAAAATTGGCTATCGGAATATTATTTTTAATTAGTAGAATGAGTTAAATAGCTATAATACAAAATATTTGTATTCCACTTGAATCCGTTAAAGTAAAGAAAACTATTTCCTGAGAAATAAAAAATCACCTTTACGTTTTTTGGGTGACTATATAAGTTTTTAATTTAATATAGTGGTTTAAAATTCAATAAATTATTGAAGAATTGGTAAACTATTAATAAACAAAAAATGACTGTTTGGATTTTTTTTTTTAATAGTTATCTATTAAAATATATTGTTTGTGTGTACCGGGCCAATACCTTAAAGTAGACATTATTGACATAAAATTAATCTATATAAAATAAATATTAGGTATGTTGTCATAACTTGACATTGAACTAGAGATATACATTTTAACTTTAAACGTACCTGTCATGTGCGAGATAAAATAATTCGATTTTATTACACAATTGTTAAAATACTTTTACCATATTCGGTGACCAATAACAAACAGAAGGGAGAAATTCCATTGTAATATTAATAAATATTATTATAAAAACGGACATTTTTATTTTAACCAAAATCCCTATATGGACAAACCGGATCAAATTCGGTTTCCAGAAAAAATGTACATAAAAGTCGACTACCACGTATCCGATTTTTAAACGTTATTAAAATTTAATATTTTCAAGCTTAAAAGGAATTCTATAGCGGTGATAGCTTTCCACCGAGTCCGTTAAAAATGGTCCCGTTTATAGGTATAAATTATATTTATATGTTTTAAAAAAAAATCCATTTTCAACCACTTTAGAACCGACATAGATATTAGGCTACGTCATTAAGTATTCAAGTCAACGGTTAACGAGGTGTTCTACCATTACATCCTCGTCTCAATTTGCGTTTTGATTGAACCAAAAACATATATTTTATGTAGCAGACAGTCATTACCTTTTTGGGTAGTAACAATGGCGAGTAAAGTGCGATGACAATACAATAATTACTGTTAAGCAAGTCGGTGGAGTAAAGAAGACAGAAGTAATAAAAACGTAAAACTGAAAACTTATAAACGTCTAGCCTTGGCAAGGATTAATCACTTTATCCGGATCGTTATACGGTGCTGGCCCACCCGAGAAGTAATATTATTACTGTAGTTGATTAATAATTATTTTCCTATACGGTGTCGTTAATGGTTTTTTAAGCACATTTACTATTTTTCAACCGCAATACGGTTATCAAAACGCGTTAACCAATTTGCAACGACACTTGTCAGGAAGTACATACATAAATGCAGAATATTGTTATTGTCATAACGATGACAATAAATTCGTTTTAATGGTATAAAACGAGGCAATAATATTCTTACCGTGTTCTTTTATAATATAGTACTCTGGACGCCGAAATTAATGTACTTAGGCGTTGCGCCAAGGTTAAGCGCTTTGCGTTTCAACAAACAATATTAACGTTAATAATAAACGAATACAAAAAGGTCAACGCGGTTATAAAATATTTTAACTGCAACGTTTGTCGGGGGATGAACAACGACGGGGGTGTGTTTGATTTAAGGCCCAAATAAAAATTAAACTCGCTACGCAATGATGATTTCGGTACAGCTCAATATTGTATTATAGGTCTCACGGTGAGTTCTACAATGGACCGGAAGGAAAATATACTAAATAAAATATACAGGAAATAGATGTATAGGTACTTTACCTCTACGCATTGTGTCGATGACGCTCAACAACATTATACCGATATGGAACTTGCGGCTGAAACTGTCACCCTCCAACGTGGACAATCCGAACAAGTGAACGATAACTTAATCAATCGCTTGATCAGAATTTTCCCTTAGATCCTCTGGTGGTCAGGTTGGATGGTCGCGTTTACACCGACTGACAGAAGAGCACCCCGTTGAAGTCACCGTCGATTACCGTTGGAAAGCACACTCCAAACGAGCTCGGAACGGTGACTACCAGAGGAAAAACAATACCCCCAGCCGTTGTCGGGTCTATGTAATTCCGTTTGGCAGTTGACTACAGTGTGCTTATCACATATACACACACACACGAGACCGGACCGGCGGCTTTGTACGGATGGAAGGTCGCTTTTTTTCCCTACCAGCCATACCAGCTACCTAAAATATAATAATGCAATCGAATGCAGATGGCCCCCTCTCAAGACGTGTGGGGTATAGTAGGTAAATACATAATAATACCTATTTAATATAATCATTACATTATGAATGGCTCGCGACCCGAACACAAGCATAGGTACGCGCGCATTGTTGATGTACAAATATTTTGGAATATAAATTAATTTTAATTACCGTTTACTTAGGTGACAAATTGATCGTTTCGAATTCTGGGTAATGTATTTTTGTACTTTAACAACGCCAATTAAAACTACCGTCGGGCAGCGCGTTAACAATGATGTTTTAATTTCAGTTACCTTACAAATTATCAGAACCAATTTAGGATATTGATTGCTGCACTGTTTTGAAAAGTCATACGATTTCGCTCTGTTTGCCTAACACGCTAATCTAACAGGTCGTAAAATGTCATCATTTAACCTGTCAAGTCTGAATTAAGCAAAATTGAAGTTTTAACGTTTTCAGATAAGATTTTATATTATTTAAAATCTCACATTAGCTCAAACTTTTTACAACTAACCTATAGAATATTTGTTTAACAAGCGAGTAAACATATCCCATATAACTTTTTTTTTTAAGTTTAAAAGAAAATTGTATTAACCTATTAATACATTATATCATTAACGCATTTTACAAACTACAATATAATTTACCGGTAATACATTTTTCGTATCATAACGTTTATCTAACATTATAAAACCAAATTGTAAAAAAACAATTACAAAAATGTAATTGACAGAACAGTAAAAAATCCATTATAAAAATCAAAAATATATTTAAAAAAATTACATTAATTATTATTAATTTAATTAAATTTTTAGTTAATCATATCAGGCAAGATAAAACTTATAATTTTGACCTCCAATGCTCTCTAACCTTGACTTTATGAGTACTCTGATCAAAGGTATTAGGAGAAAATTTCAGTGATATTACAGGAGAAACAAAACACAGAAAATTCTAAGTGCTTTGTAGAAGAGCACCCGATAGAGCTTTTTATGAATACAACAATGTTATAAAAACCTTGCAAATCAAAAGTCATTTATTTATTAATACACGATTATTTGTTGAACCTAACAGTGTAGGTAGTCCATCTAACGTAAGAAATTAATTTTGTTTGAAAACAATTACAATTTTGTATTATTCATTTTGGAGACATTTTAGTTTATGTTATTTTACAATAATAGACAATATTGTAAAATGTTTATCTCTTTTGGTAAATTTCATATAGTAGCTTGTACATATTATGAACATTTTAAGTTGAGAATATTTTACTAAAAACGTTGACTGGCCAATATTCAGTGTTAAATAATTATTTTTAAAGTTTAGGAAGAATGAAAAGGAGGACTATAGTATTATTTTTACCTGTGCGCATTACTCTACCACACTGCCCCTTTCGTCCTAAATTTTGAACTTAATTAATTTTAAAAATAACTAACTAAAATTGTTTATCGACCGGTCAACATTTTTAGGATATAATTCGTAATTTAAAAAATTAATACAATTACAACTAAAATATATTCAAGAAAAACTACAAAATTTTAATTATTTTTAATGCAAATGAGTATCTTATATTAAGAGGATCATCCTGTAAGTTATATTTAAAAAAAATAATTCAAAATACGTAAGTTTTTGTTTAATTTACATTACTTTTTTTATTTTATTCATGATCTAGCTAAGAATAAAAATAACTATTATTATTAGTCTTCAAAATCCACATTTAAAGTGTTGGAGTAACTTTTTGAGTTTTTTTTATAAAAAATAATGACTACAGATTTTTTAGATGTTAAATCCTAAAATTGCATCCAAAAAATTCCAACCTCTCATGAGTATGTGTCATTATAAAACCAATACCATCTCTCCTAAAATGTAATTCCCTTCAACTAAAAAAAATTAATATATAGTTTTTTATTTACAGGTATATACATTATCCTGTTTCGATAAAATAAAATTTTTCCCCCCTGTAAATGTAAGCTGGATATGTTTGTTTCTAGTGTACTGATAGAAAATTGAAGGAGTAATTCATAAAATACTAAAATACATATTTCAACTCAATGTCAATTAAACAGAAAACTTACCAAAGTGCTGAACCACCTCAAAAAAAAGTTTTGAGTGTTCTTTGTGACCATCTGAACATGCCCTAGGACTTGCGCGAAAATTTTTTTTTTTTTGGAACAGACTTATATAAACTTGACTTACCTTTACTTATAAATAACAATATACCTACTTAATAATATACAATTTTATTTGTTTCTAATATAGAAAGACAGATATTTATTACAGTAAAGATAACTAGTACATCAAAAAATCAATGGTTAAGATCATTATTATTTATTAAAGTCCTATTAGTGTGGGATGACACGTACGTCTATTATTTTTGTGATGGCCTTGAGTTTTTTTTTTTGTTAGATAAAAGCTACGAACCTTTAAAGGCTACACACAAAGACAATTACCGCGAGAAGTAAAGTAACGCTTCAAATTAGATTGTATTAAACATGAATTATATTCAATTTATGTCTGTATATTGTAAAAGGTAGTGTGTGGCAAAACTTTTTGCTATTTTCCTTCTACCTAAACGAATTACAATGCATTAGGGCTTAAATCAATAACACATAAAATCGATTGGCGCCTTTTGCGGCACGGCAGAGGTACTCAAGACCAATTTCAATTTTCTAAGTTTCGAGTACTTTTTTTTGGTCGCACACTATTTTTTCAGGAAGGCATTAGGTTCATAAGCATACAATACACGCTTAATATTCCAACCGACAAACGGATAATTATAAACTATACACAACATATGTAATAAACTATATTTCTTAAGTCACAGACAAAAATAGAAAAACAGACATGTAATAAAATATTCAAGGAGAAAACTTACATAAGAATTGTGAATCACACGTTTATGTACGACATGAATTATACTTCCAAATTTGCATATAAGTATTATAATTATCATATAAGCTAATACCGGAAGTAAATCAGCTGAACAAGTCTGCGGACTAGATAGAACGTAGTGAAGTACATCAAGTATTCGATGATGTCCAAAATCCAAAATATCGCCAACGGCTGCTCGGTGATAGCGTCACTGGATGTTTGGATAATCCTGAAATGATTAAATATCAGTAAACTATAAACCCGTTAAACGAGACAATATTCTGTTCATTAGTGACATAACTAAAACCTCCCAATATCACATCTAAATGGATATTTCCAACATCGAGACATTGCTAAATCGCTCTTTCTCGCCAGATAACCTTAAAGACCAAAAGTACATGCAGTATATGTTTCGATTTTGTACAATAAGATAAACACAAGTAAGTGTTGTTATACTTCTCCTTCTAAAGTATAATTTCTATGTAATAATTTCTTATGAAAAAAATATTATATTCTAAAAGCTGCTTTAACGCTGGATAAATAAATTTAAAGAACATTAGGAGTTAAGTGTAACCATTTGGGAGGATAATCTATCCAAAAAAAAGAAATAAATGGTTTTTATAATAGTCGCAAATTGTATTATGTCGAACTTGCAAATGAGATGGTAATTTTGGTAATACTGGAAAGCATAAATCCATTAATATATAAATTATCCAATTTGTAAATTTTCGCTAGGTATAGTAATTGATTCGTTATTCCATTTTGCCGCAGCAATACTGTTTTTTTAATCAAATTCCAAATGTAATTGTAAATATACATTATATAAATTACAAACGTGTAGCACAATTGAGGCGTCTAGTTTCAAAAACACCTAAAGACATTTCCAAAAAATGTTTTTTTTTGTTTAAAGTAGTCACATAATATTAAAGTATTACATGATGTGTAAAATTATAATTGAACACCAAATAAACGGTAGAGCTAGTTCAAATAAATAGTGAAAATATTTAGTGAAAATAGTAGGTGATTTCAAAACCTAACCAATCTGACAAATTTTTTTGTTGCTTATGAAAATGTTCAAAAATTGCCTAAAGCTGATTTTGAAAATTAACGCTTAATTGGACTATGCATTATGTAATAAGCGGTTTTATTATTATTAAAAAAATTATTCATTTACATTGATACGTATGAGACTATAACAATAATAAGATAGCATAAAATGTGCAAATAAACAACAGCTGTTATATATATATATATAAAGATATATGATTTTTTTATCAATTGTCTTTAATAAAACAAAGAATAGTATATATACTATGTATAGAGAGCCGAGAAAGTGATAAAAATTATAATATTATGCATGATATAGACATAAGTTTTAGTTTAATGTTTTTATCTAGTTAGTGAGTTAATAGCTACAAATAGACCTAATAATAATAATAATGAATATTTATGACCTTTTTTAATGTCAATAAATAGTTATTTAATTACATAGTTTGTTAAACGTTTTAATTATTCTTCCTAGACACCGTGATATAGTTTTACTAAAAGACCATTATGTGTGTTATTATAATTTATGAATTCACAATGAATCTTTATAGAAATTTTGTTTCGAACTGCTTTGTGTAGCAACGAAAACAAATTAAACGTCAAATCAGATTGCATTGAGAAAATATGGATCAGTTAATAATTTATTATTGACAAATCGGAAATATAGTAATTTTAATATAACTGTCAACTTTAGGCTACATAAAAGTCAATTATTACATCGAAATAGGTACACATATTATAGACATTTCGAAATAAACACTTATTCAACAAAATATTTATTAGTTTTAGATTCACTAAAAAGAAAACTACACCTTAAACCAACTTGAAGGTAAAAATAGCGCTAATTAACAAAAACTGTCTCATTTTGAATTCATTTAAGTTAAAAATAAGCTTCATGTATTTCATTTATGAAACAGATTTATACTATAATTGACTAAAAGACTTTTATTCATGTGGAAAATAGTGTTGTCATTTTTTTGGCAAAAATGAGTTTCCTGGATCAAAAGCCTGAGGACAAAAGTTAAAAGCCGTGAAGAAGAGTTTTATAAAAAAAAAAACGCAAAACAAACTAAAAGTTACAAAGTGATATCTGCCCTACTTAAACAAAGTCACAGAATAATAATATTATTGTAGTGCTTAGGTATAGAATAATTGTTTTCTCATTTCAAATATGTGTTTTTATTGCATAATATATTGAGTCTCTCATAACCATTTGCAACATATACTTATTTGTCGATTTTATTGATACTTAAATGACATTTCCATAATTTTTTAATCATAAAAACGCTTTATGGAAGTGTACTACTCGTAAAATTCATTTTCTTAGCACTGGATGAATTTTATACTGAGGCGGTAACATATAAAACGTAAACTATTAACCCAACATATTTATGAAAAATGTTGATACACACTTGTTTTTTGATGATAATTGAAATAAACAAATTAATTATTTCGGTATTTATTATTATTATTTTTAACGTGTTTACTGACTTTGGAGATCATATCAAAAACATGTCGTTTATCAGGTTTTTTAATAAAAATAGAACAACGTTCATTGACAGTAAAACAATACTAATTAACCAGAAACGTTTGCAAATCAACGTTTTTAAAATATTTTTAACAAGATTGGACTGGTTCGATAAAATTCAAATAGTATGTGTACACGCTATGTATAATCAATGTGCAATAATTGTATGTAGCAGCGCAACGATTTCTGCATTGGTGTAGTCTCTATATATATATATATATACATATATATATATATATATATATATATATATATATATATATATATATATATATATATATATATATATATATAAATTATTATATCTATATGCCTTATATTATATTGCCAAGGTGTCTTGGAGTACGTTAATTTATGTACATAATTCACTACTCTTTGAATACTTGTTACATGCCCTGGAGACAACCATATTATAATGGCAAGTTCACGCACTACACTATAATATATAAATCTTTACCAACACGTGCTCTGTATACGCCATAATGATATACATTAATTGTTGGAAAACAGGGTTAACAATCATTTAAAAAAAAATTAAACTGTCTCCGTTTATGAATCAACAATAATGACGTAGTAACCGTAAATAATCGTTGTTCAAAATATTCTTACTTTAGAACTTTGTTTGCAGCACCCTCCCCCCATTTTTTCTATCATATAAAAAATAATTCTGTGAAAATTTGGATTCGATCACTCAACTCCTTCAGGTACTTCATCGGTTTAGTCAAAGAGGATAGATTTTAGTTTATTGAATTTATTTAAAAATCTATCACAAATGTGGTTTAAAAGATTTGAAGTTACATCATTCTTAACTAATGTTATAAATTTTAACTTCGATGCGTAACAGAGAAGGTATTGTTTTTACCATAGTGTGTTTTTTGGTCAGTTTCCTTTAAGTATAGCAATTCCTTATCGTACTTGAAAGGTACTTAACTGGCCCAAAAATTTAAGAAGTTCTTCCATCCTCCTTCAATATAAAGATAAACCATACAAAAGTTTACATATTTTTCAACTTAAAACGCTACGGCACAATATAACTTGTTTTAAAAATAGTCGAACTTGTTTATAGTACTAAAATCATGTACGTTGCAAACCAAATAAACTACAAAACCCTTTACCCAGAATGGCTCAGAACTTTTTTAAACTAAAAACAGTTTTGGTACTTAAGGTCTGAAAATTTGTCTGAAGGTATATCTAGAGTGGGACTATAACATACACACGGAAAGGAATTTTTTTGGAAAACCCCGAAAAGCCAGAACAAGAAGGTCTTCAGGATTATTTTTAATTAATTTATTGCCGTTGTAACTTATGTACCGTAATTAACAATATAGTGAAAATATTTTTTCAAATACCTGTTCAAATGACCGGACTCCACTGTACTGACTTTTTGTATCATGATTTTCCCTATAGTGCGTTTTCGTTAAAAATCATTTTTGTTGACAGGCTCAAAGATTTCACAACAAAACTATTTGTTTTGATGGATTGGCCCTAATATAACCTAATCTAACGGGATCTATATCTACATTTGCTAACTACTTAGCAATTATCTTGTTAAATATTAAGAAAATATGTGATCAATAAATTGTTCGTACTTAACTTCTGATGATATAATTTACCTAATAATTGCAACTATTTGGTTCAACTGTTTTAGTAGTATTTTGCTGATATAAAAAACAAAATACACAATTATTGTACCTAATTGAATCGTATGACTTATGAGTGATTTAAATGTAAACGTTTAACTAAAGATCACGGTGAGTCATTTAACAATTTAATGTTTTATACATATTTGTCAAGTTACTTTTTATATTCTTACGGACTACGGTTATTACTTGCTAAGCGTCAATGTGTGCATCTTTAGAATTGTCTTATACAAAGAATAATTATATTATAGTCATGTGGAGTAGATTAAACGGACGGATGACACAGCAAGAATCTGTTATGACGGACGGACGCTTTGTAAAAAAAAAATGAACTTAAAAAACTAGGATAAGATATTTATATTATCATATTATCTTAATGCAGCACCAGAAAAACCTGCAAAACTTGAAACGAACGTTAATGTGCCATTTTATATTTCAATATTTTATTTTTATTAAATATTGCTGTTATTTAGTGTAATATATTATTTTTATATTACTCATCATCAATGTTTGAAAAAAATAAAACAAAACATTTCCTTCATAAGCGCTACTTTGTTTGCATTCCCTGTGCAATAAACCACTTATTTATACTTATTTACAAACTATATTTTAGGTGTAGGTACTTACATTTGTAAAATCAAAGGCATCAACAGTTGAATAGCGACATCTTGAAAACATCTGAAATATATATAAGACTACTTCAATACACGAATTGATTCCAATGCCATCAGCCAGTGCACAATATTGTTGATATAATAATAATAATATTAATAATATTTAAATATATTGCCACGTGTACATCGAAAACACACACACACACACACACTTTAAAACTTAACAATATATTAAACTATTATAATAATTTTATTGTTAGTAATTATTAATAATAAATAAGTAGCTACTCATGGTAATTGAGTATGAAGTAGTGACGTCGGTCATGATTTGTAAATTGATTAGTCGTGACAAATATAAACGCGTATTTAGTTGGAAATTTTGAAGCGATGGTCATTAATAAAAAATGCATAAGTCACTATCGTTAAAAAACACTTTGATTATAATTTGTGGCCTGAGTAGATACTTGTAAAAGAGGATCCACTCAAAAAAAAAATCCATTGTTGAAAATTAATTTTTTTTTGGCCCATGTGCACTATTATATATACTATTATATTATATATTATAGGTACAAAGAGTCTTGATTTTAAATGTTTTTTTATTATGTTATTTGATCAGTGACCGGCAAATCGCCGACATTAACTGCGTATTTGTTGGTCGAAAACAACTATCATTCTAATTCAATCAGAACTCCAAAACGCGTAATCCGACAATAATTTTGAGATCAGATGTCATAGTATGACGTCCTCTTAAGAAAAAATTCTTATTATTTATACTTAATGCCTACTCATATTTGATTACTAAATAGTAAAACCCTTGATATTATTATTTTTACTTTAGAAAAATAATTAAAACTTTTAAAAAATGTATTAACTTAATACGCATACAAATTGATGCCAACATTTCAAAGTCACCAAATCTATGGAGTGTACTAAACTTATAAATAAAAAAAATATACACAATTATCTTTTTAACGTAGTAACATCATATTGACAAATTGTAAAGAAAACCAGTTTTGAAAGATTTTTAAAATTCTGTTAATTACGAATTGATCAAATATTAATAGCTTAAATTTGCAGCTTTGTATTGAATTTAATCAGAAAAACATACAATTTTAGTAGTAATATCTTTATCTTAACCACACATTAATTTTTATTTTTATTATTTTATTTTAAATACCGGTTAGTTTAGATTAAGTTTTAGAGCGATAAGAGAATTTCCTGAATCAAGTTTAAAATTCAATTTTGCAGATGAATTTTTATTACATAGTACATTATTAGACGGTTTTCCTTATTAGGTCTTAAATATTAAACTTATAGAATATAGTTTAAGTTACACGATGACGTATTACAACAAAAAGCAATACCAAACTACACAATAAACATTTTGTTTTATGTTTGAAATTTGTATCCGTTATAGGTATTTGGTACATTTTGACATATCACTTACTACGGGAAAAACGCTGTGTTCGCTGCGTGTATCACAATCAAAATCATTAACATTCTAAACAACCAAAAATGCAGACCGGACTGCGTTTAATGTTGGCGATTTGCCGGTTACTGATCAAATAACATTATAGGTTAGGTTAGCTTTCCTAACTATAAAATGCAAATGTCTTCAGTTCAATATACCTTGGCTAAAAAATATATATTTTATTACACGCACTATAATACTACACTCATGAATTCGAAGGGTTTCATTTGTATACTTTTCCTCATAGTTCCCAAAAATGTGAAGCTTACCTTCCTATGCTGAGTACGTATTTGCTGTCCTATATCCTGTCCCTTTTATACCGTTAACCAGTCTCACCACAACGTTTTATGGTTTTCTTGAGACGGTTTTAACCTCTTTCTGCATAAGGTCCCATAAATGGCACAAATTAGTTTTTTCAAATATCTCGTTTGATATTTATCCATTTACGTTACTTTATGCATGGCCGAATTCGGCACGCAAAACTAAACAATTTTGACATAAGACACTTCTATCTATCGGTAAATGTGTGTACTATAATTTAGTAAAACTCTTATCAATTATTTGATGCGGCGTTATCAACTTTCGGGCTTTTTCAGAATTTGAGAGCGTTTTGAGAGCTTTTTCCGATTGTCAAACAAAAAAATACTAGTCAGTTAGATTTTTGCTGCAGATTTCAAAAAATGTAAATACGTCTTTGTAGCTTAAATAGTTTATAAGCTATATTGAAATTGAACTTAATGCCATACATATATATATATTAAGGTTTTTTTAGGGTCAAAAATAGTCAAATTTTTTTTTAAATATTTTTCCATGTAACTATGACCCAAAAAAAAGATACACATTTTTTTTTGAGAAAAATAATTAATTCATGCAGAAAAGGGGTTAAGACCCGATTGTCGTTTTTCACAATATACATCCAGATGATAAACATTAAAACACACGGGCAAAAATTCTCGTTTGCGCCCTCTAGGACGGCATTTTCGACGTCGTCGTGGCATTACTGAGTTTGTGGCTACACTGAGCTACCGGGGTAGACTTATTCGACCAAACTAGGTCACGAACTAGAGGAGTTAAGTGTAAATAGAAAATACATGACCCTCCAAAGAAAAATATTTGCGAAAGGGGGAGGGGGATATGGGAGATAGATTAGGGAATAGTCTTTTTAGAATATTTAGATAACAAACATACTTAAAAGTAATATTATACTGAGAAATATGACCTTGCATAATATTTTTATTCACTTGTATGTCGTGTGAAAAATGGGATAATTAAGTATATAAGGTATAAATTAAAATATTTAAATAATTACAATTGTAAGTTAAAATTAGTTTAAATGAGTATATCAAGGCCGAAAAACAAAATCCGGGGAGGCTTATTTTTTCCTTATAACATAGTATTTTAGAAAGGAAAACAAATAGAAAATTATGGCTGTTCATTAAAATTTGATAACGTTATAACTTATATCTTATATTGTGTTAATGGATGAATTCAGTAGTATAATGCATCATGTTTATCTTTCTTTTTTAATTTATATATATGAAATAATTAATATTATTAATTATTACATTTTAAAATCAAATGTAAAATTTTTTTGTTTTGGAACAAGACCTAAAATACATTTGTAATACTTACATAAGTTAACATTTCTGGTAATGTGTACAATTTTTTCATAATTTTGTAGTGCTAAGACTTAAAAGTCTAGGCTCTCTTCTAGCTGAACTAGGAATTAAATTATTTTATCTAACGTTTAAAAATTATACTGGCATAAAATGAATACCCGAAAATCCTCAAAAAAATATACTTTTCGGTAGAAAAAGAATAACAAAGCTGGGTAAAGTCCAACTAGTTTAAGTTAAGTTAATTTTTTAAAAAAAATGTTTCCTTACCTAGTTAAGTCCGAATAGATTTAAAAAAAAATAACTTTTAAATGTTTTGTTCAAAATGAAATTTTTAATGAAAAAATTGTAAATTAAAATTTTTTTTTGTTTACCAACAGTAACATTACATTACATAATCTATTAATTATAATAACTCTACCATCAAGTAAATAATAACCACTTTTACTTTGTTGGTTGCACTATAATCATCCGTCTGTGATAAGAATTAATTTTATTGAGTAAGACAATTTTAACTTAGATTTATCTCATTAACGAGCTCTAGTTTTGTGTTTAATCCAGCTTTGAATTTAAAGATAGTTTCCTGATACTGGCTTTTGACTATTAGACCGGCAAAATATAGTCATGTCAAAATAAATTATCCCAAATAAATTTGGAACTGTTTGGTTAAAATTATTGCTCGACTTTTTTAATGGTATCGCTAGTCCGAGAAGGTTTGACTATAATATGCATTGGCTTCGAGCCACCCGTAAACCATAAGCCGTTTTATTACAGGTGCACTGTTTAATGTAAAATAAGGTATAAAAATGATAATATTTACTTCGTAGTAACCGTTTACCGGTAGTTCGTACATTGTCAACAACATGAACAAACCCGACACGATCATAACCACTTCGTACTTGTACTTGACCTCTGCCATATTTTAGTAGTTCTCGACGGTCTTTTGGACTGACAATTATTGCTGTGTCAGTATTGCAAAGATTTACAATGATACTTAAGTTAAAAAATAAAAATAAATTAAATAAATTAAATAAAAACTATTCCAGCGTTAATGCGCGAATTCCACACAACTGATTCGGTTCTTAATAATATCTACACGTCATACAAAATCAGTAAAATTTGGTTTTACTTAAATGCAAGCGCCAAACGCGTTACAAGCTTGGGTTCATGACATGTGTTCTACCGAAAAACATCTGTTAGACGCTATTATTTTGCTAGTCGTCGCCGTCCTACTTAATATAATAATAATAATAATATAGTATTGTTGTACTTACACAATAAACAAAAAGCCAAAAATTTGAAAAAAAAACAAATAACTACTAAGTGCTTGGCTTTGCTACGGTAAAGTAAATCGTCGACTTGAAAATATAATCGAGTAGTAAACGTTGGTTTTTATATTTCCGGAGAATAACGGTTTTTTCCATTTTTTTCATACCAAAAAAATTCTGATAACTCCTAAAGTACAGAGTATCTTGTTGACAAGATTTTTTTTACAATACTTAAAAGTCAATTATCTTGAATTTCCAGTTTCGATGTTGAACTTTGAATGGATACTTTAGAATTAATACATAAATCAAAATTAATAACATATAATACTATAAACGTAAAACTATCTATAATAATTGGCAATAGCGCAATTTGGAAGAAATCCACAGGTATTTTTCAAAACGTTCTATTACATTGAAAATATGGAACAAATTTAAATAGATAAAAACATTTTATAATAATTAATTAAATAGTGCAATTTGTTTATACGTCATTAGACTTAAACTAACTTAACATGCAGAACTGGGTAATTTTTATTGTGTAACAAGCTTGAAACGGGTTTTAAATTAAGCCTAAAAGATGAGCAATAGAATACAAAATATAATAAATAATTATTAAAAAAAAAAAACTTAAAAATAGATTTTTCGCTAACAATAATTTATTTTAGCCGAATCTCTAAAATTAAGCAGAAAATAATTTTTAAATATTTTACAGCTATCTCATTGTATATAAGTATATAATACAAGTGTGAGAAAAAAACACCAAATTGGACTTAAAAGTGATTTTTGATTGAGAAATTGTGTAAATTAAATTAATTGCAGTGCCTCAACAGCAATGTCAGCCCCAAGTCCCAACAATAGCTATTATAATTTATTTAGCTATGCACTTACTTACCCATTGTAACACCTTATTATATTTGCAGATAATTAACAGTTTCGTATTGTTTATAATAATTTATGGACACCTTTATTCACATACAGTCAACCAGGAAATATAAAATACACGTATATTATAATTTTGTTTTTTATTACTTTTTATTAGATAGTCAATTTTTAATGATATATACGTATTGTTATATATATTCCCAATATTCTACACGTTTTTATTATTATACATCATTATACTTTACACTTAGTAATATATTACTATAATATAAATTATATAATATATAGAAATGATTGATATTAGTATATATATATTATATAATATTTAACATAAATTATAATAATAATAATATACAATGAATTTACAATATAGTATATATTATACACATATAATCATGGCTGTTCATACAATCTATACTTAAAAATCAGTTACGATTTAACCTATTGTTTCAGAATTTTTAAAATAGGATAGTTTAACATTGCAAGTGTAATAGGTATAAAAGTTCATAAGTGATTAACTCAGAAGGACTAATAGCCCAATCAAATTTCACTAATGGCTATCCTACATCGCACAGAAGTTATATATACATAATCTGTATTGTCTTAGAATGCACTTTAAAACCATTGTTGCAATACGCAAAATAAAATTTAGGAGTTTAGGGCTAACAATAGAATTTTGATTGTACACTTATTAAAGTTACATAATTCCTAAGCTTATATAATATTACAATAACCAAATTGCATAAATAGTATTAGACTTATCCCGTTGAATACGGAACTCGTCTCATATTTTTTCTTTCAATTCTTTTTAAAGTTGTGCAAAATACGGTTTTAAGAACTGATCTCAGAAATATTTTGTCTTTAAATTTATTTCAGCATAAAAGAAGATATGTAAATTTTGGTCATTGTAAAAACAATACCTTCTCTAACTACCTCCATTTTTATTACACATTAAATTTTAAAATTAAATTAATTTTTTCTGTTATAAATTACTTTAATAACACAGTCATAATTGGAGTAAAATAATACTAACGTTGTACGTCGTATAAAATTGTTTTTAGGTACGATTAAATTGTAAGGACAACATTCTCGTGAAACAAACACTAGAACCAAAACTTTGCTTGAAAAAGTGAAATAAAAAAGATATTTCTATCCCTATTCTAAGGATAGGGTTTATGATACTATTTTGGTTTGTCAGTGTTTATCGGTAGTAAAATTTTTAAAGAATATTCCTTACAAATTTAGAACTAATTCGGTTATTTTTAAAAAAAATTATAGAGCATCGTAATTTTTTACTTTTGGCCCATTGAAGTACCTGATTTAAGCTTACAATGACGATTCTAGCTAAATCAATCTTGAGTTATCAATAATGGTAATATTCTATAGTGTAATTAAAAAAAAAAGGTTGATTTACAATTTACCGAATAGAACTAGTTTGCAGGAAATTTTCATTTAAGAGGGCGTCGCACCGGTGATTTTCAGTTATAAAAACATGTTTAAGCAGACTGGAAATAACTCGCTTAATTTTGGTTTTAAAGTAAAAGCACCTATTATAAAACTAAAAGAAAACAATATTCCGGAGGGCAATACGGTGCGTTTTTTAAAAAAAAGTTATTTTTTGGAAAGCTACAGTCATTTAAAAATGTTAAAATAGTCGTTATTTCTAAACTAGCGAGTTATTTTCAGTCTGCTTGAACAAGTTGAGATGAAAAAACATTTTTAAATCGCTTTCAAGGATGCTGTGATGTCCAAAAAAATTAATTAACCATCAAAATAGAGTCCTAGTTATTGAACTAATAATTACTCATCACAGTTTAACCTTTAGAATAAGATTTTGTAAAAAATTGCCTATACTTTACTCCTTAAAAATGGGCGGTGCGATACCCTCTTAAAATATGAATTAATGTTAATGTTCTATATTTAAATTGTTTATACATCTGTACAACGAAAATGTGTATTATTATAGTAAAATAAAATGCATGTTCGGAGATAAAGAACCCCTCTCAAAAATTCTCTCGTAAAACCACCGAAACAAGCGTAGCTTTAAAATGCAGCCTATGATTCAATCAGCTAACTCAATCTTAGAACCTTTTAATTTGTTACCAAGTGACGTCATTTTGTTGCACTTATTTGATCACTTGGATCGGAACACGAATTGCAATCTAGCCGAAGTTAATATTTCCTAAATTTAGTTGTTAGTGATGCGAGTATATAATTATCTTGTTACTATACGTCTAATCCTGGCATAGAGCCTCTCGGATGCCTCCAGCATTGAATGAATGAGGTCCCTAAGTCCCTTCTAATTCTTGTTAATAAAAACATATAGTCCAAAATAAAAAAGAATAAAAATACATATTTAATGAATAAAAACAATCGTTCGGATTAGTCGCAGGCACATTAGCCAAACAGTTGTATGCGAAACGTAACATGCAAAAAACAAATTCGTCTTCCGGCTTGGAGCTCCGTCGTGTGGGTTTCCGTTTTTTACCAATTAACGACCGCCCAATAGTGAAATGATAGTGCTAGTTGCTGTTACAAATAAAAAAGCAAATATGTCATTTTGCCTTTACCATGGTGTGCATGGGCCTGGGCGGGATGCGCGGCACACGGCGTTGAGGCGTCGGCGCCAACTGCTCTAGTCGGTCGCACCGACTTGACACGCAACACGGGATGGCCGCACAGCACCGGTTCATCATGCAGTACGGCAGTGTCACGCAGCACCGACTTGTCGTACAACTCGGTGTCGGCATGCAGCACCGACTTGTCGCACAACCCGGCCGAGTCGCAGCGCACAGACCAGCCGACCTCGTGTAAGCCTTGGCGGCCGGGTAGCGAGGACCGCGTCGAGTGTACTCGGTGGTCTTCGGTGGCGCAGCGGTAACCTCCTCGGTGCGGTAAATACCAGGTTCGCGGTACAACAGCTTATCGAGGTTGGCGTCGCGCAGACATATCTGTCCGTCGTCCGCGTCAGTGCTGCCAACCGCTTGTGTCTCCACGGCCGATGACGGTTTTTTCGGCTGACTTCCGGTCGTCCGACGGCCCGTCTTCCGGTCGTACCAATGCCACACTCGAGACCAAATCCTGGAACATTTCGCTTGCCAAGACATCGAGCAAAGATATAAAAAAAAAAACAACTATATGCCAACACACTTAAGTATTTATTATTAACGCGACTGTCTGCTTCTATTGTTTTACGGAAAAGCGCAATGAATATATTTATATGTGAACCGTGATTAAACAAACCACACTCTATGGTTATGGCAGAAGCGTTGTTTTAAAACTAGCCATGTAATATGGAAAACAAACGATGTATTATGTTTTTCGATTTAAAAAAGATTCTTTTTTGTTTTATTTTATTTTACAAAAAACAATCTATACAAAAATATGTACAATACGTTTTGTTTCTAAATTATACTACAAAGCTTGAATATCTTGAAAAGGAAGCCAAGCCACCCATTGGTAACACCTCTAACAAAAAGATTCTTAAAGCTAAAATATGACACTTGAAAATCTTTCTATTATGATTTCGTGATAAAAATCGATTCTATCAAATTATGGCCTATTGAACCCAAGGGCCGGCGCACATATTAGAGGGTAAAAAAATCGCAAACGAAATATTATTTTCTGAAATGAAAATAACCGCCAAACTACAATAACTGAACTTTAAATAGCAATAAAAAAACGTCAAGGTACACATATGACCTTGAAATTTTATATTATGCCTTAAAAATATATTAAAAATATAACTCATAATTGTTTTGATATTTTTTGCATATTCAATAATGAGACTTTTGAGCGACTATAATTCACTTTCGGACCACTGTGCGGTGTTAGGGGGGAGCGAGTGGGCAAGTGGGGCTTAGGTCCTTATTATAAATCTTTTGTTTTAAAAAAATTCTCAGGCATTTAAACAAAAATGATTTGCCTTTGATTTAGCAAGATTCCCTACAAAAAATAATTTCACTTGACACATTTAAATATTTCATCTATACTATATGAAATTTTATCTACACTCAAAGACATTTACATTTACAATTTAAGTTTGTCGAGTGGAACATTAATGGATGGTAAAGAACTAATGTATGAACTCAATATTAAATTTATAATTAATCGGTAAGAAAAATATTTTTCTGTATAGATAGTGGCAAGTTTGTAAGTATTTAAAAACAGCAAAAAAATGAAAAAAAATTAAAGATATTTATAGGTTACAGAGTTGAAATTTACGTAGAGTAAGTAAAATAGAATGTGTAGAGAGTATACTTCACACAAAATAAAACTTCACGTTAAAATACGAGGTCATTAGCTTCACCCCATGGGATTCTGATGGCCAGTGTGCTTTTTGGATCTTGAGCCTAAAACGAAATCACTTATGCTTTGAAATTTTTCCCACATTTTTTTATGTCGCCCAAATGTTCTTAGATATTACGAAATTGAGTGAAACATGAAAATGAGCATTTTGAATATTGATACTACTAGACTTTTTTTTATAGAATTTGACACTCAAAAGGAAAAGTACAATTTGTTTTTTAATTGTTGTTTTTTAAAGAATGTGTAATTAGCATTCAATTTGTATTCAATAATAATTTTTTGTACTAAAAATAAAAACGAAACTTTACTTTGATAAAATTTGATTTACTTTTGGCTTAGGAGTAAAACGATTCCTATAACTAGGTGGTACTAGCAAAAAGCTATTTTTTTTAAGTACAAATATTTAAAAAAAAAACACTAATTATACTCATCTTATTTTTGAATTATGATGAAAACATTTGTTTTGAGTTTCCAATTCTGTAAAAATGTCCCACTCAATTTCAAAATATTTAAGATGGCGGTGAAATATAAAGATTAGTGGACAATTTTCAGAAAATTAGGTATCTCATTTTAGGCCAAAAAGAAAAATCAACTGGTCATAAGAGAGTCTCACTGTCAATTTAAAATTTAAACATAGCAGGATTTTCAAGTTTTATAATTCTGCTTAAGAATTTTTTTATTAATTTGTCCTTGAGTTCGTTACTCTGTAAGAGAAGCACATTGCCTGTCACACTGAAACAAAGAATATCTGCAAAAATAATAATAAAAACTTATAACTTTGTTTACAGCTGCAGGACTTGTTTAATAAAACATGAAATATTTCAATACCTTTTAAGGGGCCTCAACACTAGTATTTATTAAGGCGCGTTGTATAGGCAATTTGTAATGAAACTTAACATTAAGCTCATATTCTCATATATTAACACAGCAAAGAGGTATTTATTTTGATATTTAGTTTTTTTTAAAAGAAAGAATAAACATTTGTTTATAGACTTTAAATTTCACTGAAAACATTATTGTGAATTAATTGATCGATAACCAAATGACTAAAACAAACATTAACAAGTGTATTTTATGATAAAAATTAGTGATGTCATTTTTAATTTTTTTTTTTTTTTTTTTTAAGAGAAAAACATTACTAAGAGGACTCTACACCACCTATTTCTAAGGAGTAAAGTATAGGCAATTTTCGAAAAATATATTTAGAGCTTGAACTTATTAATACAGTGATGAGGATACTTTATTGATTGCCATTTATTTTGTCAGACTATCACAGTCATTTCTATAGGATGTCACGATGTTTCTCCCATTATTACTGTTTTGCTTGGAACGAATATGAAAGGCCAGTAACTTATATAGTAATGCATACATAGCGTTTGAATTGTTTCGATAACAATAATATTTTTTAATAAGCAAACAGATGAGTAGCGTCCTCTTTAAAATAAAATCTTTACCAACAATACCTAATGTGATTTATCTAATCAGTATTATAATCATAATAAACACAATAAGTGTTAGAAAAATGATTACAAACTACATATAAGGTATTTGACAACAAACGGTTTACTTAAGATAACGGTGTTTTTTAACATTCATGTCATTTTCATCACAAAATAAAAAAAATAATTATAAAAAAAAAACCCAAATCCGATAAAACTATGATAAAAGTGTGTATTTTAATGACACTTCATTGATTATTACTTTTAATACATTATAATTAGCAAAATTGTCACAAATCAAAACCCAATATTAACATTCTTTATTAAACATAAAATAAGTTTTGAGTACAAATTAAATTAAAAAATTTTAATTAAATCGTTCAATACATTTTAATTGGAGCGAATGCTCTTAAACGTTGGTTTTTGTTGGCTGATAATAAAAAACGAGTTTGAACATAAAAAATTAAAAACGATTTAATTGAGTATCTTACAATTTCCCACTAATTTATTCAACTAAATTAGACTTAAACTGCTATTTTATTATTTTCTCCATTACAGCTGTAAGTTGTCCCGATAGTCGTTATAGGTAGGGTGTTAAGCACACAAAGAAAGATTTAACAATCAAGTTTTTATTTCTATTTAATAACTGTCTTTGGCAATTTTTGAAAAAATAATTATTATAACATATTTCAAACACTTGGAACCATGTATAAGGATTTAAGCTACACTAAAGTAATAATTGTCAAATCCAATAATTGTATTATTCTCAACATTTACATTTTTTTTTACACCAGATCGATTCTCGCGACCTCTAAAATATTGTTTTAAAAACCTGATAGAATTGGCCTGTTTTTCCCCTCTTCAGTTAATATTTTAAGAACGTCTTAATTTTGGTTTATATCAGCTCTGAATTAAAAAATTACCTATACTAGTTCACTAGCTTAAATTGTAAACACTGAGAGATATGCAAATCTACCTTGAACATAAAAATAATAATAACAATAATAATTTGACACAAAAAATAGATTTTGTCAAGCATCCTGTTAGTCGTGTAGACAAAATTTCGAAGAGGAGCTTCCCTCCTGGTTAAGAATGTTATTACAGAAATGTTGAATGACTAGATTAGATATTATAATAAGGAATATGTGTTGAAGAGGTAATTTTAGAGTAGCACGAAGATAGTAGAAAGATTGGACGAGTTTAGATTAGGATGACATGATGTGAAATAAAGGAAAACCTGAAACATGCAAAATAAATTGATCAGTGAAGACAGCACAAGAAGTGTGTTGATTGTATGAGTAAACACTCCAATTATTTCTTTTCGACGTATCTTATAGGAGTTCACTAAAAGCATTCGTCAAGACAAAGAAGAAAAAGAAAAAAATGCGAAAAATTATAATAAAATAATCGTTTTATTTATAACTATACTACATAATATAATATTATCATATTGTACACTTATTCTGAAAAAAAATAACAAAATATTTATTTACTCATAAACTAAACAACCACAAGTAAATGTCATTCGACATATTAAGAATTAGGTACATTTACAAAAGTTATGTTGTAAGAAAAAATACAATAACAATACTAATATTATAATAGAGTTTAAATCACACACGCAGCACGCTGCACTCGAACGGCACTAATTACTGTAACGTGTATACAATATAATAAAATAATTAATAATATATAAAATAATAGGATAAACATTCAATGTTGATTAATAAACTAGGTGATTCCTGTAATATTAACATCTGTTCGCTGTCTTAATAAAAATTATTATAATAAGTATTATTTTCTGTTTTAAAATGGCCGAGTGAATCCAACGGGAACATAACAAACCAATGTAACTAACTCGTGCAGCAAAGGCAAAATAGGTAAGAATATTTTTATAATATGAACAACAAAAATGATGTTACAACAATACAGGGTTTTTTCACCCAAATATTTACACATGTCTAGCAAACACTACATTTTTTTTTTTAAATTTTCTTTCTCATTCATAATTTATTTGTACATATTCAGACAGAACTGTCCGGACCTAACGTTACATGAATGATGTGAACAATTTGAACATTTGATGGGTGTTGAAACGACATTTTTTGTATTCCGCGTCGCAAGCCTTTGTGCTCTTCTTCCGGTGTCCCAAGTCCATAGCCTTTCGGAAAATGTCTTTGGCCGGATTGTCACCAAAGTGTTCGTCAGGGCTGCAAAAAAAATATATAAAGAATTTACTTAAATGCACTTGTTTGTATATCACATTCAATGTGAATGTATGTCATCGACTTTTGTTAAGTTGAAAAAATCTAATGAAAACGTTGACTGGTCGATTAGGAAAAACCAAACCAATGAAAATATACAGAGTGATTCATTAAGGATAGGACAATTCATTTTTTCTATTAAGATAATTGCAATTATATAGTTTTTCTTTTTGAAACATTTTTATTTTATTTTACAATATCAACTTTTAAACCTTAAATGGTAACGTTTATATTTAATTACTTTTTAAATCAATTATAGTTTCTAAACATGGTCGAAAACCAGTTTCGGATAATTATTTAAGCTATCAAAGTTAAAAGTTTAGGAAGGGATTTCCAGATGGAGTGTAGTATTATTTTTTCTGCGTGCATCACTCTTCCGCACTCCACCCCAGTTCCTAAATTTTAAACTTTAATAACCTAGGACTTTATTGTGGTTATCGACCAGTAAAAATTTTCAGCAAATTAATCTTTATTTAAAAATTAATTAAAGATTTATTTACGTTAAAATTTAAGTTTTAAATTTTTAAAGCTCTGGAAAAAAAATTTGAATGTTATTTAATATTGTAAAATAACATAAACTAAAAATTCAAAATATTATTCATCGATTATTTTAAGAGAAAATGATTGTCTTATTATTAATATATCGCCTGAATATATATAAAAAAAAATTATTCAATTTCAAAAATTACTGTAATTACCGAAAATAAAGTGTCTTGCATTAAATATTTTATGAGGACGCCATTCTTACCAAATTTTGGATTAATCATATATTCGGTACAGGCTTACTTTGTCAAAATCTTAATTTTAAAATAAAGCTTTAATGTACTTTTATTAATAAAGGAATGAAGAGAGGGTATATTTTTGTTCGCGGTTGCAAAAAAAATTGTTTTAATTAAATTAAAGAGAGGATGTAATCGGACGAGAACCATTGCGTTAACAGGAGACAGAAGGGCATAAGTTTCTGCACATTTTGAAATCTTGGGTTTGAACTTTAAGAAAAAGAGCGGGTGATAAGGAAACACGTGTGATCGGATCTCAGCCAAGCGGTCGTAAAGCCCAGACAAAATCCCACTCTGTGCTTTCCAGTGCGACCGATGGTGTTGGACAAGTAAATAAGTAAGTGTGTGCCGGAAGATACACACTATACTTAGTACATTTAATCTACAATGTAGACGGTAACACGTATGTATATTATTATACAGGTAACATCCGCACGTACAAGCAGAATCGACTGCGGTCAGAGTGGAGAGGAGGGATATGAGAAATGTTAATTGGGCTCTGAATGATAAAATTACCAGACGAACGGCACCTCCAGGACCCGAGATACTCAAACTTTTAGGCGACTATGTTGTAACTATAATATATATTATTATAGTCGGTGTTCTTAATAAAAAATAAATAAGTAAGCGCCACTCCTGTCTCTTCTCTCGCCATTTCCGAGCACGTTCACTTCGACTAGATCCTAATAAACCCCATAAAAATAATCCCAAAATATCTTATTATTATTTACAAAAGTAAGACCAATTTATTCAATGCCATATCTTGACAAAAATATATACCAATGCATCTAAAGGTATTTTTTTATATACATTTTCATTAATGGCAATGCTATTTTAAACCTAATTATTAAAGAATTTTGCCCCAAGCAATATATTATTGTGTTGATAATAATTTTAATCGCGTATTTATTAAGCGGTGAACTTAACATGATTCCAAAACTAGGGACGACCTGAGACAAATGGGGAAATGACGCTAAGAGATTTAACTTTAGGATAGGGAAGTCCGTTTTGATTACCAAGCTTTCAAAATAAGATTTTTTATGTGTGCAGGTGGTAGAGAAATAGAATTTCTACAAGTACAATAGATTAATTGAATTGATTAGTTTATATTTAAGGTTTAATTTAGTTTAATTTGTATTTAGAGCATGGTTTTCTAAAATGTTTAACTGGTCATAAGCCAGTTTTAAATTTAGATACTGTAATATATATAAATACCTAATTTTAGATTTATATCCGTTTAAAATCCAATCAATAATGAACAATTTTAGAAAACCTTACCCTACACATAAATTTAATTAATATAATGTTATTCATTTGTAAAAAATTCCATTTCTCGATTTAAAACAACTTTTATAATTGAATAGTTAAATAAATATTTTTACAAGGGGTATTTTTAATTTAAAAAAAGTTTAATTATGTAAAAAAATATAACTTTTTAATTCATATAGGTAAGGTGGATATTATAATATGATTAGATTAATCACACTAAAATTACTATAATTACGTTAATTTCGTGTTAAAATAAATATCTCATCTTCTAATTGACCATTACACAAACATTGGAAAAGGTTTTAGCGGCCTTAACTCGCCCACCTACGTACGCCACTGGACTTAATAAAGTGTCTATAATTTTGAAGTCTGTAGACTATAATTTTATATCGTTAAAATGTTTAAGGCCTGTCCAATTTAAGGCTTTTAATCTCGCGAAAACAAAGCCAAATTGTGACCCATTTCAGTCCGCCACAGGATTTAATATGTGGTTTTTATTGTTCATTAATCATAATTTAACTATGCCGGTATTTCGACGAGGTGGAAAAATGTTCCAGACAAGATACTATTATGATGGGCATGACAAGAAATTTCGACAGCCACGTCGTACTTTCGCCAGACAAAATGATTTACTGAAGGGAAATAAACACGATTAATTTCTATTCCAAACCTGTATATTGTAATTTTACTGTATATGTATATAAATAATGTATAAAAAAGAGTGTGATGGTCTAGAGGAACTATCATAGCATACCTACTATTACGAAACCGACGATTTTGATTGTCAAACAGCCGAACGAATAGTTTTCGGAAGCGCTTTGATGGTCAATGTTTATTTTTTTTATAAAAAACATTATTTATTAACAATCAAATGTTTACCATCAACGCTGAACCTAAACCAGATGATCCGGAACCATCAACTATAATAGGTATATAACCTTAAGAACTACCAACGGCACCGAAAGCTACCACAGTCAACTTGGGAATGCATTTTATGTGCATCATCCACATATATTTTATACGGTAAAAAAAATATATATTATACATAAAAACATAAATCTGTTGAGCGTCCCAGAATTGTAATTTAACGAACTTTGTACGTATTTCAGATTAATGTGTTCAAACAACATCAGAGTATTAGCCAAATCCAATTTTACGCAAACTAAGCGTAATGTCCAAAGAGAGACAGAAGAAAACGTTTTAGAATTATATGATTCATTTAAAAATAATAAGATGTAAGCTTTTGGCATAATAAAAAATTTTAAAACGTAGGTAGACAAATGTCTGCGGTTTTGAAGGACGCCCAGACCGGTGTCCCCCTATGTCGCAATTGTGGGACTTGTGTCATAAATCTTATCCAAGAAAAACCTAAGAAAACATGAACGTGTTATATTAAATTTGTAAGTACATGTAAATCATTTTCAGTTGATGTTAAAACAAATGAAATAAAACTAATATTATCCTCGCAGCCGTATGTTCAGTATTAGTAACGAAACAAAAAAACAAAGTAATACATTATTGTATGACGTATGTTAATATCGATTTTTTAATTTAAAATTAAATTAATTATTTTCTGCTAACTTTTATTGTCGTCGCAGCTGTACATTGAAAATTATGCTATCGAAACCAAAAAAATACATCATTGTGCAACGTATATTAAATCCCTAAGCTGTGTGAATAAGGAAAACAAAAAAATAACAAAAGACATGATTTATAATATAAAGTTACTACCGATTACTAGTCCTGTCCCAGCTGAGATGTGCAAATATTACACGAAATAATAATTGTAAGATTGTTCTATTTTAATATACTATGAGCCCTACATTTTTTTTAAGGAAAAAAGAAACACAATTAGCTTTTAAAAATTATTGTTTATTAATGGGGTTGATCAAATGTACAGAACAACTATTAGGAAATTATTTTAAAATAGAGGTTGAAATCGATGAAAGCGAGAATGTGTCTTAGTAACAAATACCAATGCCAGATTAAAATTCTTCTCTATTGAACAAATTGTGGAATCTTTAGAACAATTCTTCAGAGCAAGCACTTTTCTCTTAGAGAGTAAAAAACAAAAAAAACAAAATTTTTTTATCTAATTTTTTTTTTTTATTATGATTTTTGTTTAAATAAACATTTCAAACTGTCAAGAATTGTAAACAAATCTAATACGTCAAAAACACAAAAATGGCCATTGTTAAATAAGTGACTTTTCTGGATTTTAATCTGTACTTTTCAGTTATGATAATTTTAACCAGAAATAATACGGATTACTAATTTTATACTACTATTGTTATTATATTTAAACGGTTTTTGCAGACCACACAAAATATACTTAAATTGTCAATCTATTTAATATATTTTATAATAAACGGGTTTTCTCACAATTATAAACACATATTTTGTTGTTTTATGTATTGATTTAAAATGATACTTGATACTTTTTAACATGTACACTTTACAGGTTTGAATGGAAGCGTTTTTAAAAATTATTTTATTACACTTCTTAATATACAGGTCATTCAGTTCCTTTGCTGCAATCACCACTTCTCTTTATCTAACTGTTGACTTAGTTTGCTATTATTCTTTCCCGGAAAGTTAATCCATAATATTAATAATATACGCATTCTTGATAAAACAATAGTATACAAATTCTTATACAGATTTTTTAACAAAACAACAGCTAGATACAGCACTAAACTTTCAATTTTTTTTTAAATAGTACAATTATAAAATTTGTACAAGTAAACACTTTTCAAAATGTACAAATAAAGGTAACATTTGATGACTTTGTGTTTTCAATTTAGTTCTTGCCCTTTTACTGACTTGTATGTGGGCAGCAGCTCTTTCAATATTAAATGTAGGTACTGGCAACCTATATAAAGGTAGAAACAGCTACACATCAAATAATAACCACCGGATAGGGAGGTCATATAACTGGTGATAACACTGCGATGCGGAAGGCAAAGGGAAACCACCGCATCAGCATTTCCTAGTAACAACAATAGTTCTCTCAGGTAAAAATTAAGAGAAAGGCCAGCGACAGAGATACTTTGGAAATAAAATAAGCTAGAATAATTAGTAACCGATTTTACACAGAACTTTAACAGCTTGATTAACATTGCATTCTTCAAACATTTCATCCTAACCAGTATATACAAGATATGCGTTAAAATTATTGTAATCGCCGCATTTAAAATGATAAGACATTTTAGATAAATACATGTGGCTTAAAACAAAGAGACGAACATGTAATGAGGAGCGGTGGGTGGTGAAAATCAAATTTAAGTAGAAGGCAAGAGGACGGAGAAATAATTATATTAGAAAGATATTATCAATATCAGTAAGAACTAAGACTAATACATTATTACTAGGATTTTTTATGCTGTTAATATGCGTATGATTAGAAAAAGAAATTAAGGATGCAAATTCAGATTCAATGGAGAGTTCCATAAAATGTCATCAAAAAAGCCTTGAGCAACAAGTAATAAAGTACAGCATTGCATGAATTCGTCTAAAGTAATAAAATGTTATTTGTACTTTAGGTGTTTATTTTGCATTAAAATAAAATAATATTATAACAATACAATTTGAAGACACACATTGAATAATAACATACTTTATTTGGGGAGTTTTTGGTAAAGTCTAAATTGTTTTATTATAATTATTATTTGATTTGTGAGACAATTGAAGGAAAAAACCGAACTTATGTATTATATATAAAAAAACGTGAAAATGAATATAAAATGTAGTTATTACACTTTTAAATATGGATGCACCTCTGTTGTATGAGAAAAAAAGTAAATAAAAATTAAAAAATAACATTGTATTAGAGAGATAAATATATAAAATGATTGGTTTAACAAAAATGCAAATAAATGTTTATTTTTTTTTTTTTTGGGATAAAAGTGAAACCCTGACCGGAAGCATTTTCTATTTCTCGCGTAGAGTACATAATAGTAATGTCGTGATGCGCTTAAGCACAAACAGAGAATACAAGTAAATTATTATTTTGTAAAAACCGCTGGAAGGCGCTATGAATCCGTTCCATTGTCGGTGTTATTTCATGATTTTTAGTAATAAGAAATAAAAAAAATAGGCAATTACTGTCTATTAGGATAAGATCAAATACTAATATCATGTTTTAACATACTCAATGTTGTACGTACACTGTACATGACATGACCCGTGTTTGTATAATTGTATATTACAAAGTATGAAACCATAATTATTATTATTCAATTTATACACAACGTTGGCGGTTAAGATGGAATGGTGTTAGTTACATAACGTGCAATTTACTCGGACTTTAACAAGTAACTTGTCTAGTTTTTTTTTTTAATGGGCATTTAGAAAGCAGCCGAGCAAAAGTATACTTCCACCTTAACGTCCGGCTCTTCTTGTTGCATGCAAACAAACCGTCACAATCTACCACGTTTCGGTCTTGGCCATAAGAAGCAATACGGACAAAATAACATATACTAACTCGTTGTTTTGAATCTCATAGTTAACATAGTTATTTGTAATCATGGCCGTATTCAGGGGGTGGGGGTCCGGGTTCAACCCCCCTCCCAAAATTTCATCGAAAAATATTTTGTATTACCTTTCATTTATATCTTTTTTAAAACTTTTTTTAAAGTATGTATTTCTGAAAATGATGTAAAAAAAGAAAAACATTTTGGTGTAAGTTTTCTTTTAGCTTTAAAGCCTAAAATAGAAATAGATAATAATAAATACGTGATATTATCGTTACCTTATTGGAAGACGTCAATAATGACTGGGTAATAATGTTTACATTCATATATAGAATCGATTCAACCCTGTATATGAATAAAAGCACGAGTCTTGTCGATAATAAAAATATTATATATATATAAAAATAATAGTCACTATCAGGGTCGGCGACAACGACAGGACACCGTAATCGTTTACTGGAAAGATCTGTTATTTCAACCTGCTAAAATAGTCAAAACAAAAATCCAAATATACCATTGTAAAGTAGAGATTCCAACGAATAAAAGTGCACCTAAAAAACGTAATAGTGACTTGATAACCGAGATAGAAATCGGCCCGTTAAGATACATTCATACATCTGACATTTATGGACTACGCGGTATATGTACCTAAAAAACTGATATGGTTCTATTTAATTAAAATCCCAAATAATATTCACTAGTTTTATCTTAAAATAAACCCCTTCCCCCCAAAAAAATGAGTGCTGGATACGGCCATGTTTGTTATTTATAATGCTTTAAAATAAAGGCCTATTTAACTAAGCAGATACTTCCAATACAGATTTCCATAACCTACAAAATGATTTACAACCTGGCCACTTAATGCGCTGTAAAAGTTAGAAATAATTAAATAAATGTCAAGTACTATAAAAACGCTTTTTCGTGGTTCTAGGTTGATAAATTATTTGCCTTGTAATAATTTCAATAATATCTATTAATATTGGAATATAATTATTTGTCTTTTGATTCTAATAACAATAAAAGTACATTTAAGTCTTACGTTCATTTTAATTGAACAATAAAGAAACTACTTATTCAATATTTTTCATTTATTGGTTTTTTTCTATATTAAATTGAAACTGAGTCTAAGAAACGCCTGTTAACTATAACTTTAAACTTACCTCAACATTTTGAGTATGTTGACTTCGACTTGGTTAAGTAGATTTTTAGGCGTGGCCGCGATTTGGCAAACCATTTTTCTGGCGCACATGCTCTTGTCGAATTTAAGAATTTCGTCAAATTTATAGAAATTGTTCATTGATTCTTCCACATAGGTGTCCATAGTCTGAAAAATAAACCCCATATCAAATAGATATTTTTATTTTTATTTATGTGTACATATTAGTGATGGGAATCCAAAACTCCAGATTTAAAAAAAAACGCTATTTAAGTTACTTGAAAATCTTATAAATATTAAATATTATCACAATATAAAGCTGTGTACTTAAGTAAAATGTTTTGATAACAATTTTTTAAAAAAAAACTCTTAATCACCCGGTATAAAGAAAAACAGTAATTTTTTTGTTTGGAATCCTAACAGACCCGATAAAATAGTGTTAAAATGTAAAACTGTTGTCGATTATAAAACATTTTTTTTAAATCTGTCTATGATTTTTGAACATTTTTATAATTACCAAAAGTTGTCAATTTCATTTTTATAAATATTTTGTAGTAATGAATAATTCAACCGAAGCTATTTTTTTTGTACTACATTTACACAGTCCACAGAACACAATAAGCTACAAATTCTGATTGGATTGGAGAAATCCATTTTTAAAGTATGTGAGACGGAAATAGAAAAAGGACCTCTTGTCGCGAGAATCAAAATCGCAGGAAACATATTACAAAAAATAATAATCAAGCTGCTTGAGGGTACTTTATTTTAACTTTTGGCTAAGCTTCATTCTTCAATTATGGAAAATAAAAAGTAGCAACGTTTCAAAACTTTAAAACTTTTTTTTTCTGAATAACCCCATTTTCCGAAAGATAAATTCAAACAAATATAACTCGACCAATTTTCAAGATAGGCGAAAGATTCCAGTTTCAAGATGTTCAGAACTAAGTGCAGAATTTGTAATAATCGATAACTCGAAATTTGATTTTTGCGACAAGAAGTCCCTTTCCCTTTTCGCCTCGCATATTATAAATTATTATTACTTGTTATTTTTGTTGATTGCACTTTTTATGACATTTAAAATTTTAACGCGATGCCTGCATTGCCGACACAATATTAACTAACACATTGTCAACATATTCTGAGCCTTAGTGTTCACTTGTCATTAAACAAGTATAGTTCAATATAATAAGCTTCAAACACTATTTGTGTTTGCAAATCACATGAATTATACACACAAGAGAATCGTGACATGTCGTGTGGGACACACACGAGAACAAGCAGACACAGACAACACTATGGCCATTGATTAATTTTTTTTCTGTTTTAATTATTGCGACCATTACTGTTCTATTATAATTGTTGTTATTTCAGTTAAGTCATTCTCTTTTCAATAAACATCTGCGCGGCATATGTGTACCTATTATATAAAATAATATTATAATGGAGCCGAATTGTCTGTCAAACGGCTTGTCTCGGTACGGCCAATGTATTAAGACATACTGTGATACTTACTGGCAATTTTTATATGGCAGCAAACTGACAGGCTGGCTCATTAGATTACATACTCAGAAAGCGCGATATCCGATAACGACTTTCGTTTAATAAGTAATACCTGGTACCCACTGAATACCTAATAGCTTCTTATAATATTATAGGAGATAACCCGAGCGAGTGCTGCGAATAATAGAGAAACCAATTTACCAATCCTATTTAAAACCGCCGGAGTCGACCGAGAGCTTACCGATATGTGGGCGTAATCCGATTTAAACCGAATAAAGACTCCGACAAAATATATTATATTTTATTATCACAATATGTGTGCAAAAAGGAAGAATGCAAGAATAAGCAGACATTTATTAATAATAGACACCGATTAGACTGGACCGGAAACTCGTTAGGCCACCGAGAGCAACGACCGTGAGCGTACAACAATAATTTTGGTTTTGATATTAATCACTTAATATCCAATTTGTTACGGCAAAACGGTAGTTTGGTAGGCGTAATTAATATATATCAGTTCGGTGCCGGCAAAGCAGTACAACAAGATTGTATTACAATACCTATTGCGTAACAGCGTCGAGAGAAATCCTAGATCACCTCAAAATACATAATATCACAACATGAAATCGACAAATAAGTATTTAAAAACATTTTTCATCAACGACGGTCTGTTTACAAAACCCTGATCTCTCTCAAGTGTTCCAGATTTGGTATTACATTGTGATGATTATATTTCATAGCACATATTAACAATCTACAAGTCGGTTTTTAGAAATTACCTTAAACTTATCTTAAAATCAAAAAGTTATTGAAAAGATATTTGGAATTATTCAAAAGATTTATTTGATTTAAAACAACTAACCTAACTGATTTTAACTAACAGAAAACGCGAGAAGCCCGTTTGAGGCCCTTCGGGACTTTAGCTTAAACTAGCACTTAAACTAGACTTTAGAAAAAGTGTGTATTCTTGAAATTATAGACATACCGTAAGAAAATCAAAAAACTAAAATATTATAATAATAACAGTTTTGTCCTGAAGAAAGGACGTTCTTTTTTTGTTTTACTTTTTAAAGAGTAGTTTTTTTAAAAGAATGTTTTTAGAGCCTGAAAATTTGACTCATATTTGTAATCGCTAGATCCTTTAACAATATAAAAATATATCAAAAATTAAGATTTTGATCGTTAAAAATTTTAAAACTCGGTAAGAATAAATGTGTTTTAACTTGTAGTGCCTATATTTCTATAAACAATTAATACTTTTTACTGTCTATAAATTCACCTTCAAAGATTTTTTATTCATAATAAATTGATTTTATCTACTAGACTCAAGAGTGAAGGTGGTGCAAATTTCAAATTTAAACCAAAAATATAACAAGCGAATTAAAATAATTATTCCACTACAGGTTGACGTCTCTGAGTTCGTAATTTTAGTCGTGTAAACTTAAATCAGAACACAAGTACCACAGTGAATTTTAATAAGTGAGACCGTTAACATGACATAATGATTTTTAATACATTTATTTGTACTTCTCAATGTATTGATAGTAAATATTACAGTTATATTCTAAGAGTAAGAGTTAAATCCTACGACGGATAGTAGGACCAGAAGGATGAGAGTTTAAATATCCAGGTAAAAAAAAATTAATTTTTAAAAACTATGTAGCATTCTAAAAAAATAATTCCTGTTTTTCAACATAAAAGTTAAAATTTAGATAGATTACGATAGATAATATACATATATATATATATATAACGATAGATTGTATAATCTCAAATTATAACAATAATATATTATTGGTGATATCATAATGCATTAAGAAAAACACTTTCTATATGCAAATCCGACGATAGACTAACACTAACGCGTTAAATCCGAACTACAACGTGCTGTTGTCAAACGATCATTTATCCGGACGAGTTATGTCGGCGCCAACGAAAAATAACTTCCATGTGCTAAACATTTTTTTATAATATAGTCTAAACATATTATATATACATAATACATAATATACCTTTCCACTATATTATAATACACGGAAAGTTACATGCTGGCGCTCCAATATAAACTATTCGAATATTTATGTGTTTCTAGAAAACTATGACTCTTACCACATTAAACAGTATTGTCAAAAATCACGTTAAACTCAACTGAAAAAAAATATATAGACATAATAAAACGTGTTCCTATAATGCAAACACGACGGCCTAATAGCCTGTTAAATAATTGAGAAATCTGTTAGAGTGAAATTCAGATGATTTTGTTTTCCAAAATTACTACAGCTATAGTTATAGATATAGCTATATTAATATAACGTATTAATGTCTAAAAAATATAAGGATAATTAATAATTTTAGCGTCAATGCTCTATTATGAGGTTAACACCGAGAATGAAAATAAAAAATCTATTGTTTATATACATAACGGGTCGGTGCATGCATGTTATAATGCATGCATAATGTTCAGTATTTCTTGAGAGTACATTCAAAGAAAATAATGGCCAGACAAATCCGATACAAATTAACTCGACTCAAAGTGAGCTGCCCACCGTGTAGGTTGCCAAAAGACAGCATAATATTCAATATAGAAATACAAAAGACAATTTTAAATTTTATAATACAAATAAACACTATTAACTCCTTGACATTAACGACTTAGACATAGTTTTATGCCCGTGGAAATATTATTATTTATATACTTAGCATCGATGGTTAAGTCAATGTATAGCAACGTAGAAGAAGCCCCAAAAACGGGCAGTCTAGACTTTTTAAATTATTTTAATCGTTTTAATCCTTTACATTTAAAATAGGCAATGGCCTATTATGGTCATTGCCAGAATAAGTAAGTACACTAGCCTTATTCAATGTGGCACCTAAACGACCGCAACTTCACTAGGTATTCAACTTAAATGTTATAACAGTATATATATGAAATAACCTTTGAGTATGTGCTGTTGTCTAATGTAACCCGTTTGCACCAAACAGTTTTGTTTTGAAATCATACATAATGGTTTTTTAGTTGATTCCACAACATCCAAACTAAACTAACCTTTATCATACTTGATATTTTGTTAGAACCCGTTCGATAGTCGGGGATTGGAATCTAAGTCCACAAAACTACTATTATAATTTGTTTGTTTTACATTTTTTTTTTTAATGAGAAGGTATAATAAAAGTATCAGTCGCAACGGTGAAAGTTCCGACCAGAATATTTTGTTCGTGTGAATATTTCTGACTCATTTTGGCACTATCCCAAAACCAATAAGATTATATTATTATGATCATAAACTCGAGTACTTGTTGGAATGAATCACAACCGTTACCGAATACACCGAGTTAATAATAATTATGATTTATGCATGTTTAACAAAGAGATGTATGTTCAACATTTTTTTTTAAGCTCACCCCACAGAAAATGTACGGTTTTCTAATCAGTATTTAGTCATGAAGCTCCTGGGAATAAATAATTCTACGCTGTATAAATATCAATCAGTTGTAAAATTAACTAACCACCAAACGTTACCGATTGGCGCTTGCGGTTATATAATATATGATGTTCAAACAGGACCTATAGTGAAGCTATTAGTAGTTTTTTTGAACATGGGAAAAATGATTCTATTATTGTTTTCCAGAGATATTGAACACCATGTATTCGGTTTAAGCAGTGCGAGAGATAGCTTAGTTTGCAAAATCCAATTTGGTAAAAATTATACTTGAAATCGCATCATATTACAATATAATAGATTTTTAGAGGATTTCCTATACGGATGAGTATTCATTTTTTTTCTTCAGGCGATGAGTTCTTTCGGTATTATAGTATTATGTATAAGGTCATATATTTTACTTTCCGTTTTTAGTCACGTTTACTCGCAAGCACATTTGTTGATAATATTTAATACCGTATTATGCATTTCAGTATTAAAATTCAGTATAAGTTTATATAACGATTTTGTTTATTTGATATTTTTCGCCTTCTTTAATTTCATATTAGTTTTACCGCATTATAAAATCTAAGAAACCCGTGGGAAAATGAATTATACATACAAATGTAGCCAATATACATAACGAACCAAACAGACAAGTACAAAAAATCATATTAAACTGTTTGGATTAATACAAATTACCAATTATGTGAGCTTTTAAGGACTTATGGGTTTATGTAGTGTTAATTTGGAAGTTGCTTGTATATTTTAGTCAAAATCATTTACTCATCATATTCAAGTAATTTATTTGCAATGCAAACATCTTAATAGTGGAAACCGGTAGTATCCGATTAATTTTTGAATAGGTACATTTTCATAATGTTATTACAAGTATTTAACACTAGTCTACATTGGTACCAAAAAAAAAAAAACATAATCTTTCAAAGTGGCCCATTTGTTTTGTTATTATCATCGATCGAACTTACCGCGTCTGGAATTGATCTCTTCCACAAGCCCAAAAGTCTGCCCGCCGTTTGCACCGGCCTATTGCTACCGGATATCTTCTGCCAATCCTGCGCCAGCTTGTGCATCATCCACATGCCGGCCAATCCCAGAATGCACAGTAGGGCTAACCTCATAAAGTGTATGTGAGCCTTGATGGTGGCCGCCATCACCAACAGCATAAATCCGACAATGGCACTCTTCATTTTCGTCGATTGACTGTTGTCGTAGTAGCTACCTACCGAAAACCGGTCTGCAAAACAAAACAAACACAACGTAAGTCGAAAGTGTGATGCCGTTTACCGACGATTAGCTTAACAAGTTGACTGCCTTTGCATTTTTCAAATTACCTCTTCAACAGTTTTGCGAGTTAAACTTAATACTCGCATCCAATCGGATCCACCACGCTCTAGTCGAGATGAAGAATTGGCAAAAAATGAGTGAGAGTTAAATTGAATTCGCATTAGCCAATATACCATAAGCATCCTGGTGAGACATACATTTAACTCACAAAGCCATTCAGAAATGTTTATTTTTAATTTTTCACGAAATTAAACGGCAAGGTAAGGCAGTCAAACTTGTTAGAAATGAACATACCAAAAATAGCGAATTTTCACCTTTTTTCCACTGGGCTCTTCTCCGACAACCCTGCTCGCTTGTTGTTCTGGGGGCGAGACGCGTTCAACAACGTCTATAGGCCGGACACATACACAACGTGTGCGTCTCTGCGAATTAACGCGAGGTAATTATCGACTGGAGACAGAGTTTTAAGTACAGACTTAGTACAGACACGGTTAAGTGGTTTGCGTTGTCTTCGAGTTGGCCGGCGAACGACGACTGTAATCGAAAAGTTGTGTTTTTTCAACGGGACAGACTCCGCCGACCGGGTCCGCCGGATCCTCCATTGGCGGTGGGGTTTGGGGCCGACTACGCTTCCGGTTTCGCCCTACGTCCGTTGCCTATTATGAAATGACTTTCGCCGGCACGAGCGCATACCGGTCGGCAAGTCCGGTGGTCGTCTGCCGTGTGTGTGTGTGTGTATTTTGTACCAAAACCAAAACCGGTTCTAACCGCGTGTAAACCACAACATACGAAACGCGTACCGTCTGTAAATACAATTATTTAGTTGTACTTACTTTTTTTTTTTACCGCTTTCGGCTTTGCGCGTAGAAAACGGTAAACATTAAGGTAGTCCCGGCCGTCTGGACAGTGTTGCATTGTAGCCGCTATAATATTATGTTATGTATACATCTAACATATACAACAATATACTTACATAGTATTAGGTATAACGTTACCTACCTACACGCACAAGTGCGACGGTCCGTTGCGCAACTGAAATCCATTAGCTTCGTCCGGAAGAGTGTATAGTAGCTGACTTGTCCGTACATAAGGGCCTAACCTCTTCCTGTGTAGATCCAACGGCGAACGGCTCTCTTGAGCACCTGTGAGTTTAGACCTTGAACGGGGCAGTCTGTCCGAAAATCTTATATCAAAATGCATGCCAAACTAGTATTGAGACCGTGAAAGGACTAATGCACGTGGTGGTACTCTTAGAGTAGAAGCAGCAATTGCAGCGCACGATGGATGGATCTCAGTTAGCGATTAATAATAGCAGCTGTAGTTATTACAGGAGAAAAAGAAATATTTGTTATGTTCATTAATTTCATCCAATATAATCAAATATTATTTGGTATAAACCGCAGAGAGTCTAAATGAAAAACCTGAACATTTTCATATGTTTAAACAATGTTGACACCATCGTTGCAACGTCATGTGGTTAGGTCAGAGGTGTATTTTTTAAAGCTGTAAAACGAAAGGTAACCATTAAAATATTATAGTACCCGCATTTGCGTTGTGTAAAAATTCCAAATAGCTTAATAGTATGTTGAACTATAAAAAAAACTGACTATCTCACATAGTCTCGTCATCGACGGACGCTGAGTAGAACAAGTTAATGATGGGCAAAACAATTAATATAGTGTCCTAAATGTAATTTATTATTTTTGTCATTCTGCCATACTCGATTGTAATATTAATCGTTATCCATGCATCAATCGGTATGAAAAAAAAATATTAGAACGCTACCAAGCGGGAGCTATTGTAGATAGACAATGTTCCACCTATATTGAGTACGCTGACTTGCTTTTAATGGAGAAAATTACAACGTATTTATTATTATTATACTTGGTAACAATATCATCTGTAAAAACAATAGGTACTCGGAAGGGTAGGCAAGCGGGCCCTTTGTCTAAACTTCACACTCAGCAAAGTAATTACAGAAGGTGAGAGGGGATATGGGGGATAAAATCTTCCTTGAGCTTTTGTCTTTGAGGAGTTTAAAGACCAATAAAGAGATGGTCGGACGTAGTGAATGTATGTGTAGCAAATCGTATTTAGTGCAGTTGAACACTAGGGTAGCTGACCTAACACAGCTAGGAAAAAATGTAAAGTAGAAGAAGCTTTATTTCATAAATTAACTGAAATTCAAATTGTTTACAAAAAATTGTTTGGTTACGCCTATATTTACATATTGTTGGGTGTTGCTAAAATGTTGGAAGCCTTGCATCTATTATCTTCAGGACTGTGTTGCTGTGGTGAATACGATTTTACTCATTTCGCTGCTGTCTGTACAAAGGGTGTTCACCGTGTATACTTTTAAGTTTAAACTTAACTTTTTTAAATATCAATTCATTCATTCTTCGATTCTTGTGTTCGTTGTGTAGCTAGGTTTAGTACTAGAGGGTAAAACACATTTTTTTTTCTTTCTTTTTAGTAGCTTGAATAAAGTTGTATTTAAATGTGATGTGTTTTACTGAGTTACGCGCCATTCGACTTATCCTTTGGGCACATTTATCCCATCACGCTGTCGCGTCCGTACGTACCGGACCTCTATAATATGATATTATGGTACACTCATCTAGTGTTATCTGGGGACTAGTAGGCGTTTTACGGTTCCTCTCGGGAAATTTGCCGAATGAATAAAATATACAGCCGAAAGAGTAGACATGGGTAAAAAAACAAAATTTGTATCTATAAACCATGTATTATATTATATGCGTAGGTACGGTACACGGCCCAGTCTCGATCACTTTGACAAAACGAATATTTGTATATACATTATTTTAATTCTTACGGTTTCTACATAAAATACAAAATCGATTTTCTTTTTCAACTTATTATATAATACCAACACATATCCATTAAAATCAGTAGTCATACGACTGACGGCTGTTAACGGTAAATTGAAAATTCAAGGGTGTAAAAAAAATATTCAAACGCTGTTGGACTCGACCAGGTCCACAAAAGATCACTTGAAAAGTTCATTAAATAGTACCGTGTTATTACGTTTACTTATTATGTTAGTAGGCTCCTATTAAAAAAAAAATTACAAGCACATACAAATATGCATTGTATTTGTTGACGTTGCCCGCCTGAAGGATGCGCGAGATAACTAACCGGAAGACCCACATGAATATTTTGGATGATGTATTCGGATTTAAGAAACACGCGAGTTTATAGTAATAATTACCATGTGATAATCTCAGTTTATTATTGTAAAGAAAACGGGTGTACCTAATAGTACAATTCGGCGCTTTCTCTTCTTACAACTAGTGCCGGGTACAATAAACAATATTATATTCGACTGGTATGCGAAATGCCATAACTTGGACAATTTTGATAGTATTTATGTATGTAAAGACACGCGACATAACAAATTATATAAGTAATTATTTGTCGTTGCATTTGCCACGACTGGACAACCGCTTTTCTAACAATAAATTTGTAATGAATAATTTATTTTAATTTTTTTAAGTTAAAATTGAATACTGCCTTATGTAAATGTTTTTTTTTTAGTATAAGATACAACCGTTTTATAAGTCCTAGTTGTATATAAAAACGAACTACTCAGGGGGGGGGGGGTGGCGATGGCCCTCTGGGTATTTACTTGTGTGTGTACCATTATCTACTGACAGATCACTCGTAAAAAGATAACCGTCTTCGCTTATACGAAGATAGAAATGTAGTGATCAATAATTAATTTATACGTTTATGTGACAATGACGTCTCATATAATTTTTTTTTTTTTTAGAATCAGATTAACCTAACTTATTTCTTAACCTAATTTTTGACAATGCTATTCAAGTTTAGGTTTTTCCTATGCTTTCCTAGTTTCACCATAAACAGAATTAGAATTATAGTTATGCCAGTTCCTAATATTATGTCCGATTTGTACCAGATTTTAACTCATCCTCCCCGTCTCTCCTCTAAACTATTTCTTTATCTTGTGAACGGTGCTGGAAAAACTTAATATCTTTTAAATAATTTTCTAACCTTTAAAAAGTTTTAAACTGTTCTTAAATTTGAAGAATCTGAGTATCCATTTTGAATGTTTGTTTGATGATAAATAAAAACGTTTACCTGTTAATATTTTTAAATAATAAAACACCTTTCACATTATATCAAGTGCCCCCCTAACGGTTCGGGGCGCCGAGTTGTCTGTTGTGGTGTTTGATATTTTTGTTTGTCGCACTTCGTATTGCAAATATACCATTGTGATTACTTACACCATAATAATGTACAAGTAGATCCTAAAAACTTCCTCGTCTGTAACCAACACCGACAGAGCTCGTTACACTTGTTAATTTAGTGCAGGAGTGTTATTTATAAAAAGATTAAATCATAAAATTGTGCCACTTTTCACAAAAAAATTTAATTTGTTTTCTTCCTCCATTATTTCCACTTAATTATTAGATTACGAAATTTGCTTAGAATGCTGAACAAAAGTGAACGGTTAAAACAACGAACTTAATAAAAATATGTTGATGCTTCCACAGATAAATCATTGTTCAAATTTTCGGTTTGAAGCAGCGACTTATCCGAAGTCAACTTTACTCTAAATGTACAATGTAAATAATTCGTTTTTATTACAATACCAGCTTTACGCAAACAGGAGAAATATGTTATTATTTTTGAAAAACATAGGAAACTAAGTTTAACTAAGAATAATGGAGTACATTTTATTATAAATTAATTTCCTAAATAATATATAAATTATGAAACCGAACCAGAGTTTTAGGGGAAATAAATAAAAGTATGTCCACAGTCTAAGTAAAAATTTGTCCGTGTTTATTGTAACTTTTTAGTATATTTTACAATAAAGCAAAATTTAACTATACATTTATTATTAAATTATTTGAAAATAGAGTAAAAATTATTGATAATAATAAAATTCTTAAATGACGACATATTATACCAAAAAAGTGTTGCAAAATAAGTATAATAAAGTGCACCCTTCAAATTGTATAATAATAAAAAAATTACCCAACTTTCTCCGTTTATTGATTTTAAAAATAAGTACCCACTAAAAATATTAATTTATAAAATATGAATCTTTACAAAACATAAATTATAAAAAGTACAATTTACTTAACGTAACAGCGCCGAACTAATAAATATAGAAAATGCGTAGCAATAATACTTTTTTTTTTTTTGAGACCGATTTGAAATTTTCGGCTGTTAGTTTTATACATTTTTCAAGTAACTTTAACATACTAATATTAATATTAACTCTGCTAACTGTAAACTGAAGCTGGATTCAGTAAGTATAATAATGGAACATAATCGGCGTAGCACCGTGTGTATATATATATCTATAAACTTAATCAAGAACGATTTTACTTTTTAATACAAAAATATAATAGATTTATTAATAAGTTTCACTTAGCATACAAATTTTTTGTTCTTTTCGAATAATTAATGCTACAAAAAAACATATATACATATATATGAAAAAAAAAAATTCTGTAAATAAAAAAATTACAGTAGGTAGAACAGTCTTATGTGTAAAATAACAATTTATAATGAATCAGTTCACTATAGTTAACTTATTACCCTGTATAGAGATAAACTTGTAAAGCTTTAATTCAATAGTTAATTCGTAGATAGTATACAAAATAAAAAAATAACCCAAACAAAAAAATAAATAAATAATAATGGTATACATACAAAAACTATTTGTAGACATAAAAAATAACAAGCTTTTACAAGAAAAACAATGTTTCGCACAACTGTTCGTTTGGCTGTTGTCTTATATTTTGGCCTACAAGATAGGCTAACTTGTGCGCGTACTGAAACAAATGATAAAAACGCATTATGAAAACAATGTATTTTGTTTTTTCAATTTTTCGGTGCTTGTATCAAAAAGTTTCGAGTCGATATTTTAATATTCATACGTTATACTCTCACACTCATTACAGGGGAATTAAGTTAATCACTTCGTATCCATATCTTATGTTTTAAAATTCCATTAATTGAAATGCTATTTTCACATTCAGTTCTACCAACGAAGTTCCTACGAGTTGACTATGATAAAACCCTTAACGATATTGCTCTTTTGGAAATATTCTTTGCATATCTAACGAGTTAAAAATTGTAATATTTCTAAAGAGAGTAATCTCATTTATCTTCTAAAGTTCAAAACCGTCTTCCGAATATTCTACTAGTTCTCAACTTGGAGCTGAATGCAAGCGCTTATGTAAAATCAATTATCCGCCACACAACAATAAGACCGAGTTTAAGTTATCTACCTTACCCTTCCCCCTATCATTAATCATTTTGTAATCATGTAAATAATTCAAGATTTAAGCACGCTATTTCTTCCTTAGTTATCTGGGCGACCACAACAACTCTTCCAATTTTTTTCTCTAAATTTGATAGTTCCTTACCATATTCTAAGTTATATTTCTACTATAGTATCCACCCTTCTGCCATAATAAATAGATCCTAACGTTTCACGGTGATAATTATGACATTTTTTCCAACCAACTCAAGTAAAAACTAAAGACACTTTACACTTGAATTTTTTAACAATTTACGCGTCAACCTATATTATTAACGTTAATCAAAACTTTTATTTCTGAGTAAATAATAATTAAATAAAAAACAACAGTTGATTACCTGAACAGGAGCTGGAACTTTTATAGTACCGCACCAGTTATAATACATGTGACATAGTTTGTATGACAATCTTTGAACGTTTTCAGTGCTTATAGTACAGCCATTTTGCAACACAATATAATGTGTTGGGTTAACAGTGCCCTGAAATGTATAAAAACATATATACATTTATATATTAATAAAAGTTATTAACATCACAGCCTATATGCTTGTTGAATAAATAAAAACTACAATATGATTTCATAACAAACCTGGCGCACATGCTGAGATACGAGGAAAAAGTCAAAATAATTTCTTCTCGTCACAGTATTGTCTATAATTGTTCCCGGTGGTGGATTTACATATTTATTTTCACCCATAAACTACAGAACAAAAATTATTACAATTATTTTATTTTCTAGCTATAGAATCACTATAACGTCTAACCTGGAACACTCTGCTATTTATTCGTTTTTGAACAACAATAAATGTTATTTTAGGAAAATAGCCACCCGGGTATTCTTTAAAGTCAGCTTCCAAGTCTCGTATTTCCATTTCTTGAACCTGTTTTAAATCGCCATCCGATACACCATCTCTGTATATTATTATTCTTTGCGGTAGTTCACCGTTTTTCTGGGGGCAAAACAAAATATTTTAAAACTGCAAGTTCAAATTAATTGCTATACTAATAAGTAATGACGTATTGCATAAAAAATAAATTAAGAAAGAATAATTTATTCCGCTCCACTTAACGACACAAAAAACCACACACTTAACATTTTTGGAATCTGCAACCCAGCAATAGGATAATTTAGCTGGAGTCACAGGACAAAACAACATAAACTTACAGCTTTCCATTTTTGTAGTACTTTATGGAACGCCTCGTGTATAGCCCTTATAAGCTCTTGGTGGGTACTTTTTTGAATGGATGCGACTGCTTGCCATTCTGTGAACAGCTTGTCCATTGATGCAACGAACCCAACAACGCTACTTGCCTGCTTACTTTTTTCATGGTATACGTCTATTCCGACTATCATAGTAGATTTCTAGAAAAAACGGTTTTTTTTTTTTTAATGATATTTTGTTATTTACTAAGTTGGACGATTTACAAAATACACTAAACTATAATAAATAATTACCAATGGGATGTTTATTGCCCAACACGCTCCTCCCAATTTACAATTAATTTGTAGGGCTATTTTTTGAGTAATTGAAGCCAACTTGTCTGGTTTTGAAATTGTTCTTGAAACAATAACCTATTGGAAAAACAAACGAGAGCTATAAAATAAAAACTTTTCTTTCCCACATATTCAATAATATCATACCTGCGAAGGTATTCCCAAGTCAGCACAACATATCTTTTTGACAGCGTTGTAACGATCTTCTCGCTGGTTTGGAAATATTATGACGACCATTTGCAAATTTTTTATGTTAGACGTGACGTTTTGTATCGCTGTAATAAAATGTTCAGGATTGTTGCCTGACACTTTTATTTTATTTGGTACTTCGATATTCATTCCCAAAATTCGACCGCTTGAAATTAATTTATTACAAAATGAATACGTCACTTGTTCTTCTTTTTGAATATACAAAATGGCCCATGAATTCATGTTAACCTAAATTAGTAAAAAAAATAGTTTTACATAGCTCAATATTAACTTCAATGTATAGAAAGGTATTACAATTATTGGTATTGGTTTTACAATGAGTTTTTTTTTAAACTTAAAAATTACAGCATTCTATATTTTTTACAACATAGTCAAATTAATCCCGAATTTGTATGGAATATTCTTTAGGTAAAGTACTATCAATAAATATTGACGAACCAAAACAATGATTTAACCCTTTCCCCTAAAGTGTGAAACGTCCACATTTTTTTTTTCAAACGAAATTAGAACAGACCTAGAGTGATGCTTTATCATACACAATTTTTTTAAAAATCTGTAATCAAATTTTTTTTTATTAAGGAAAAAAAAAAAATGGGTAAATTACACTCTGACCATTGTACATTTCTAGGTGTTGACATGTGAGTAAATCAACAGTCAACAGGTATTTGATATATCGCTTCTCCGGTGGAACAATGGTGTATGTGCAAATTTAACTTTTTTTCAGAAAACGTGATTTAAAATTTTAGTGTAATGGTAACCTTACACAATGGTAAACGACAAAACTGCTCTCTAGCGGTATATATTATCATACTGTTTTCGTACTTAAGTCAAAAAGTCAAAAATTTGAACTTACTCTATTGTTCCACCGGAGAAACGATATGTATAAGAGTAATAACGTTAACAAATTATTATAGATGGACTATCAACCCTAATACTAAAAATATAATTTTAAGCTAATTATACATTTTACAACACTTCAATTTTTATATTTCTTGCATCAAAGTGTTTATTGGAAAGTGACTATCATTTTACAAAAAAAATAATTCCTATAGCTTGAGGCTATAGGCTCCACTTCAATATGCTCTGACATCATGTACTAGCTTTCATTTAAATACAATAACAGCTAGATATACGTTTAATTAATAGCCACTCACTATTGAGAACATTGCATTCTTTGCTACGTCGTTTCCCCAATCCATATTATCTTTGATAGGTTTTTTAATGTTATTTCCCAATATGATAACTTCTTTATTGTATACAGGTCCATGCATTTTTACTGGAGCCGAACTGAATTTGAGTCCCCAATCTTTTAATTTTTTGCTTGCGGCTTCGTGTTCTAAACGTTATTACAAATTATTAAGCATAATCTTTCTAGTATATAAAATAATTAATATTCAAAACTTAAATATAATGTATATTTAATTGTAAAAATTGAAATGTTTTTTTACCTATTAAGATAACGCCCATAAATAACAAATGTTTAACAATTAAGTTTATATAGAGAACAATATTATTCAAAACATAAATGGAATTTTGTAACACTCAACAAATGGGAAATGTTATGGTTAGTAACTGTTATAACAATCATCATAAACAGTAGTTGATACTAATATAATAAAACCACCCTATAGAAAAATTAGAGTACGAAGTAACATTTACTTAACCTACAATAAATTATTAAAAACAAATCCCTCAGAATTTTTTTTCAAAATTTCATAAATATGATCTTGTATAAATGACGGTTTCTAAATAGCTATAAAGATTATTGGAAACATTTTCATTATCATAAAGGGCATATAGTATATTGTACCTACCATTTACACGTTTAACAAAATTTACTAAGGCTGCCTGCCGTACGTCGGGAGTTATTGAAACGTGTCGCTGAATCTCCTTCATTAATCTAAAATCGGCCTTCATTGCTTCTGTCAATCCTGTCATATTACATAGTTCGGGAACCAAACATATTGTATCATTTTCCTAAAAGAAATATCTGTTTGAAATATGTTTAAAATATATGAAGTTAGGTAAATATACTAACCACCGTGCCTTTCACCATATCTTTCTTTTTAAGTTTTGAAATTAACATGGGCTGTTTTGCACTTTTTATATTTATATTATATACTTGTTTATAATAATCAATAAAAGAAATCTGGAAAAAAAAAATAAAACAATTTGTTAGTGCCAAATTCTGAATTGACATACATGTTATAATTTTTAGTAAGCAATTTCGAATATAATTCGATGAAAACATTTCATTGAAGTGTATATCCGAGTAAAATATAAATATAGACCAATTTTTTGTATGATTTTATATATATGAAGGGCACAGGAGAAAAACGGTAGAAGTCACATTATGAAAATTTTAGAGTATAGCAAAAACAAAGTTCGTGAATTCCTCTTCCTCTTAAGAACAAAAAAAAATCACAATAAATGCTATTCTAATGAAAAATGTATTTATTTAAACAATCTGTTGACATAAATAAAAAAAAAATTAATGGCCTAAATTGAAAAAACTATTTTAAAAATAATAATTTCATAATGTGACTACTACTGTTTTTCTCCCGTGCCCTTCATATATATACAGGGTGTCCCATTTTAAAATACTAATCGATTTTTCTCTAAAAATACTAATCCAATCAAAAAGTTGCTTATTAGAGACTTTTAGAGTACAAAGGGGGACGTTATAAAAATTTAAAAAATAGGGTCCAAAATTCAAAATGGCTGACTTACGGTCAAAAACATGTTTTTTTTTAATGGAAACCATGTATTTTTTGTTAACCAAAAAAATGTTCTTATCAAAACTAACAACTTTTGTAGGAAAATTTTTTCGGTAAAACCCATAATTTGTAAATTAAGTATTTTTAGCTATTTTTAGTTTTGTTATTTTATTTTTATGCATATGGTAACCTTGTCATGTGTAGTAACCTTGGTTTGTGTGGTAACCATGGTATTTTTAGTAACTTTAGTATGTGTGGTAAACATGGTATGTGTGGTAACCATGGTTTTTGTCTTTGTGATACACAGAAAAGAGGATAACCTTATCGATAAAAATAATGATAAACATACCACGGTTACCACACATACCATAGTTACAACACATACCATGGTTACCACACATGCAAGGTTGCCATATGCATTAAAATAAAATAATAAAACTAAAAATAGCCAAAGATACTTAATTTACAAATTATGGGTTTTACCGAAAAAAATTTCCTACAAAACTTGTTAGTTTTGATAAGAACATTTCTTTGGTTAACAAAATAACCATGGTTTCCATTTAAAAAAAACACGTTTTTGACCGTAAGTCAGCCATTTTGAATTTTGGACCCTATTTTTTTTTTTTTATAACGTCCCCCTTTGTACTCTAAAAGTCTCTAATAAGCAACTTTTTGATTGGATTAGTATTTTTAGAGAAAAATCGATTAGTATTTTAAAATGGGACACCCTGTATATATATAGACTAATATCAGGAACTTGGTTTACTGTGCCCCAACTATGGTATTTGTTAAAAAATCTATGAAGACACTATATGTACTAAACCAAAGGTTTAACTTTTAACATACCTATAGTTTTTAATATACATTAAAAGGAATTTTGCATTGATATTGAAATTAGATACTGGTTCAATTTTACTAAGAAAATATATTTGATTATTATGTCTACATAGTACTATGAATCGATCAGAGCAAACTTTTTGTATTAAAAGTGACCATTGAATTATTTATTGTTACAAATTTTGAAGTCCACATTTTTTTTTTTCCATAAAAATTTATTGTAATGGAAAATGCTCTAATCGATGCACAGCTTATTATTTTCAAGCTAAAAAATAAAGAAAGTAATATTCAATAGCTTACAATTGTATAAGGCCTTTTAGTATTATTGTTTATTTATATTTAAATTTAATTAGTTGATATAAGCACGTGATTTGTACTTCATCATTCTTACATTTTGTCCATTTTTTTCAAATGTCGACATTGGCGACATAGTAAAATCTATGTCATCAACTCTGTAAGTTTTTCGGTTATAGTGTGTTATAACAGTTGTTCCTAGTAATATTGCCTTTATATCCGATTGACCGTCTCTACCACCTTCACGTTTGGCTTTGTTTAAAATTTCCATCCTATAAGAAAAACATTTAATTACATATATTACACTGCTATCCGTTAATTTATATTTATCAAACTTATAATAAACATATATAATTTTAAATATATATAAAGAATCCAATCTAGCTTAAAAACAACCGACCTGTACTGACCAACAGTAAATACTATTTTAACCCATTCTGTCAACTGCTAACTGAAAATTTGATAGTTAGTATAATTTGTGACACAAAGAACATGTGGGCTTACAAGAACCAACCACTTGAAATTATATTGGATTCAGACAGTTACAGATTTTACTAATGTTATTTGCTTCAACTGATTTTCTTAAATTGATGACATCCAGATTTTATTTTTAGGTAAGATATTAAATAAATTATGCTTAAATTAGTTGTTATGTATATAAGTTATTAAAATTAATTAGTTTTTTTAATAAGTTGTCGGACTAACTAAAAATGTATTTAATGTTATTTGATTGGTAGAACTATAAATCTGGATGTCACAGATACAACCTAACCTAAGTCCATGCAACAAAATATTTTTCCCCAAATAGGGGATGTCGATAGATCTTAAAATAAATAATCGGTAAATAATCATTATTGGCCAGATTATAAATCATTCTGAAAAATTGATTTTATCAGACCGGCTTACTTACACATTAAAAAAAAAGGACCAAATCTAATCTGCAGACTGGGTTAAAATTGTATCAAGTGTAACCCTCCGCTATCCAGCCTGCACAAAAACTCAGTAGGTACATATAAAATTACAAATCAGATATTATGCAAAAATTACTTTGGACATTACTTAAATATTAAAACCCAGCCTTTGGAATCTTTAATACTTTTAAAATCCCTTAAGACGCTAACATCTGAAACCACTGTTAGCTTTAATTATTATTTTAATGACAACAACAGAAACAACCAAAACCTTAATAAAACAAATTAATGTTAACCCAAAACGTAGTAAGTTAAAAAAATTCAACTTTAATATTTAATTTTTTTGGATACGCTTTTCATTGTAATTAAAATAATTTATTTAAAAAAATAGATAAATGATAATTTGTATACAAAAAAATTACTATATATTTTAATTTTGTGTCGAGCAGTATTACTATTTGTATTAGGTAATCAATATTTTCAAAACCCCAAATTCAAATAAATAGTTCTGTTACAATACCTTGACTAAAATAAATATAAATGAATAAAATAAATGTTTTATGCAGTATTACCAAGGCGTGTGTTGCAAAATGAAAGATTTTCAAATCTTCATAATTGTGATTTTTTTCTTTCTATTTTATAAGCAAAATTAGAGGACTATTACTAACTATTCAGGACTATTATGCGTGTATTGAGAATTTAAAGTATATACTTAAGTTATTACGTTTTAGATTCAATTTTAAACGGTATTATGAAACAATTCGTAATATTTAAATTTTGTCTATTATTTTGTGTACTCTTTTCTAATTAAAAACGTCATATCATAGTATAATTAGGTCATAGTTACAATGACATTGTGGTCATTATTTCATGGGATTTATTTTTGAATTAAGGGACATTATATCTTCTTAATATATAAAACGCATAATACAAAAAAATTTAGAACTTAATGTACATATCAATTTTGGTCAAAATACATTCAGTAACAAACATTTATGAGTTGTACTTCAGCGCCTGCAGTTCATGTCAAGAACAATTGTTAGAGAATATTGGCAAGTAACAATTAAATACACAGAAACGAGGTATCATGAATTGTTTTTACAACAATGAAACCAGCAAGAGAAGAACTCTGCTTTTGAGAAGCATGTTGGTCAGAGAGAGATCTATTCGTCTTCTACCTTGAATTTTTATTTTATGATATATATATAATTTTTTGATCCTCCCTTGAATTAGAATAACATTGTTTTATAACTTACATAACTTCTAGAGTTGACTGTGTGCGCAAAATTCGATGCGACACATCACAGCACATAAACAGTCCATTTTCAAATTCGTCAATTGCAGTTATATATCCAGGCCATACTTCTAAACTATAGTAACAAAACGTAAATAACAGTACTAAACTATCGAACTACTAAACAAAAACTACAGTAAAAATATTCTAAAATATTTACTTATATTCTGGAATAGCTACCCTCCTGACAGGATCATACATATTTCTTCCAAACTCGATCAAATCCAACGATTTCATAATTTGGCGAAGAAAAACATTATAAAAATGTATGCAATCTCGTAGTAAAGTTTGACGCCGATATATTATTTTGAGATTTACTTTACTTTTATCATTTAACTCGCTTATAAGTAAAGTTTCCTGAAAATCAAATATACTGATAGTTTCTTTTAACACGTTAACATTTAAAATAAAACCAATTATTACTTACATCATCTGGTAATCTCGACGGAATATACAAAGACGTGCCGTCAAATGTCTTAACCGGTAAAATATTTCTGTGTTGGTTAAGCAACATGAACCTGGCAGGTTTTACATCCACTGGCGGGTTGTAATCTACCCTATATTCAAAAACGCCTTTGTTCTGCTCAAGTTCAATGCCAATATAGTTTGATGACAATTGTAACCTGAAAAAGAAATTAAAATTAAAATCCATACTTGAACACTTCCAGTTTAAAAATACAATTATTATTAAACAACAATTATTAACTATGAAATAATACAAATCCTTAACTTAATAATAAGTTTCGACAAATAGGAAAAATATAAATACATTATTTAACTAACCCACAAAAACAATAAATATAACATATATTATATTTATTTATTTTAGAATAAAAGAAATTAACAATTGTTCAGTAAATTGGGTATGTTGATTTCAAAAACCGTACCCGATATTTAATGTTATTTTATTTATTTAGAATTCTAATTCAGTAGGGTAGCCACCCATAGAGTAATAATAGTGACGTGTTTTGGTTTCTGCACAAGTGTACTCTCTCATGGCATGTAATATAATAAATGATTTTCCAAGTAGCTATTATACTAATCTAATATATAAAATGTCAATTCAAATAGCCGACTCCCGCCAGTCGCCTAATCGTCTCTTCCATGGGATTCATATAATACATCTCGCTCATAGACAAGCTTCTGAGGCGGCTTAGGCAGCGCGTGGCGTTGGCGCGCGTTTTTATCATGTCACAACGTTATCGTATCAAATAATAACGGTGACGGCGTGTGTTGTTTTTTTTGCCGAGTTTGTACTTTCCTTAAATTAAATTAAACGTAAAATTATTATTATTATTATTAATTACACTGTTGTTCATTGTCATACGTGGTTTTTTATTCAATAGTGTTTCCCGGTGTGTCAAACGTTATCATATATATAATAATAAAAATTAAAAACGGCGAACGGCGTGTTTTTTTTTTTGGTGAATTTTTGTCTTTGTAGTTTGTTATATTATATACATACAATTATATGTTAAACGTATAATAGTTATTATTAATTACATATTTGTCCGTAATTCGCTCACGGTTTTCGTTCAAGAGAAATCGACGTGTTTCCCCGTGTGCAAACATTACCTATTAATATGCGTCGTTGGATGTTGGTACGTTTTTTAGATTTAGAATATATATAATAATATATAGTATAGTAGTATATTACATTTTGCTTACAAATATACTATTATTATTATTTAAAAAAATATTTTTCATTATATATATATATATATATAATTTGATGCACTGAATAAAAATTGTTCAGATCTAAAAACAATCGATTTTTAGTTTTATACACCTGGGGCTACTTTTGTGTGCTTAAAATTTATATACATTATTGACATAAAATATCTATGTGTTCATTCCGCTCTAATAAGAAATAACTATATCACATGATCTAATTTATTTTAATCACATTATACATAGCAACATCTTTGCTATTGTAATCATTCCAGTTTTTACTCCCTGGCTTTATAATACTTATTTAACCAACGAATAAATGCATTTTTACACAGTCTTATTATAAAAAATTATAGGTATGTTTTTTAAAAGCATCAGCAAAAGTCCCTATATCATCTTTTTAAATTCTTAAAACAGTTGTCTTTAGATTATTTTAGCATTCAACATTTTGTGTTCTTAGACCGTTTTTATGAGTAGTAATCAAAAATCAAAAAAATTGTCTGAACATTTATTTTTACTAACTATTTAATGTTAATTTTTTATATTATATGTATGAATATATATATTTTTTTTTTGAGCTGCTGTTGATATAGCTTGAACTAAATTAGATACTTATTAATATTGACTATTTTGGTTTTTTTTGTGGTGTGATTTCAGACATAGGGCATAATTAAAACATAAAAATGAAATATTAATTTCAAATCATTTTATTGCATTTTAACATTTTGAAGCATGGTGGTATAAGTAATATACTACTTTTTCAAAAAATAGCCTACTCTCGCACAGTGGTATATATTTATTACCACCTTCATAATCATGTTCAGAGAAAATCGGAGAAAAAAATGCTGTGCTTCAAAGGGTTAAAATTTATATTGAAAATCAACATTTAATTTACTATTTTATTATTTATAGAAGTATAATTATAAGTATTCGCTCCACCCTAAAAAAGTATAGTAAATCTATAGATTTTGCTATATTTTTTTAAATTGATACTACATAATGAAAAATAAAATTATTTTAAAATTTTTGATTATTATCATTTAGTAGGATGAATTGTTGGTTAGACATCTAAAAATATATCAACATATGGATTTATATACCTTTCATGGTTTACTTAAAAAAGTATTAATGTATATATCAATTTATCTATTATGTATAAAATATGTCTGGATAAGTATCAAATAATTTAGGTATTTTATGCACTGAATATTATTATTATTATCATTTTGTACTCTGACCGTTTTTATAATCACCGCCGGACACTCGAATAATCAAAAATATTTGCTACAAATTATTTCAGACATTTCATTCATGTTTTGTACTCTTGAGTTCCCAAGTAACCGTCACACAAACATATCATTCTTCCACACTTTTAAACTTCTAAAAACCAACAAACGTCAGACCTTAAGTATCAAAGTACCTTTAGCATTAAAGGTCCAGATCCAAAAACTAAAAGATTTGCATCGAGACATTTCATTTAACCTCTCTTTGGACATTTTTATAAGCTCTGCCAAATAGTCGATCAAAAATCAAAATAATGTATTTATCACTCTTCACTTCTTTCCCTTTTAAGTTTTAATATAAACTCTAGACATTTCATTCATGTAATTTACTCTTGAATTCTTAAACACTTATGAACTTCTGTTAAACCACCAGACCTTTAATATACATATTTAATGCATTATGCTGTTGGTTACATTCTAAACGTACAGTACGTCATCACCGAATAATGGCATAGACGGTGATTTCTGAACATATAAGGATTTTAATTCAACCAATATCTCGACATATAACGTATACGTTTGAAAAAGTTTTGTTGCACATAGGAACACCATATCAGACATATACAGACTGACCTCTAAACATTTCTTTCTATTTTTAACCATAGCTATTACCAAGCCCGTGAAGTAAACAACACCTCAAACAATTCAAATTAAAAAAAAAAAAAAATTGTCCTTTAAGCAAGTAGCACACTTGCTTTAGTAGTAGGACGTTTCTGATCTGACAGATAGCTAGACTTGCACTACAGTTAACCGGTACTTAGCTTGCAAAACACTTTTTCGAAACTAAGTATGAACTATGATTACTAGATAAAGGTACGATGAATTATAACGGTATACTTTAAAACGTAGTGAGCTGACTCGACTCCGTGGCCGGGCACCCCCCTCGGAACTGCTGTGTACAGACATATAACATACTACGTTTAAACAAATTTTGTTTCACAAAGGTAAACCTTAACAGACATTTAGCTGACTGTGCTCTAGACATTTTTATCTGTTTTCAACTCATAAAATTAAGCGGGATGACACCGGCCTATATTGATGACGTGGTCTATAATATAACAACTTTTACCAAAGACAATTTCCATTGTACACTTTTTCCCAATGGCCAGCTTCTTATCAAGCCTCTTAAGTAGTTCATAAAAATTGGTAAAAGTGGTAGCAACCCAAGTAAGCAACACCGGACACTTGATATTTATTAACCGTCTTACTTCTAGACTATTCTTTTCAATTTAAAATTTAAAAAAATTACAGATACATAGCTAGACTTACTCTCACTTAATCAGTACTTAGCTTGCAAAATATTGTACAGTAAATATTCCGGGTACAGTACCAGGAATCTGTGACCTACCCGCCCGACTCGGGGGCCTGGGGGCGGAGCCCCCAGCTAGAGCGAAGCTCTAGTATAATCTATAATAATGACTCCAAATGAAATATAAGTTTAAATCAGGTTGCTAGATTACAAGTGAATAGTGTACCAGTATAAGTATAAGTACAAGTCTACCTTAGCACAAAGTTACTTTAATAGTAGATTTATATAGACAATGTCATTTGACTAACAATAAGAGGAAATGAGCCAGTTGCTCTTAATACAATGTTTTCTTTTGCATAAAAAAAAATAATTATATTCCTAGAAACATTATTTTAATTTGAAAAATGATATGCATTTTACAGAAACTAATTTAGTATTAAAAAATTACTTTTGACTAAATAAATGTTAACTAGAATTTCAAAATCAGGGTGTCAGCAATTTTAAAAATCTATGGTTATATTAAAAACTCCAGTAATCCAGATTTAACAAATCTTTAAAAATTGTTCGATGCAGATGAGATGTTATCAGCATGTGTGTGTAAATCCATAAAATTAAAATATACAAAGTAACGCAATGAAACGTGTCTGATAATCTGTCAAACAAAATTTCTAATAGTGTTTTACACTCTTTTATAATTGGATTACCACATTTTAATATTTTATAGCTTACATATTTAATTTCTTAATGTGACACCTATCAACATAGAATTTGAATTTAAAGCTCATATATGGTAATTCTCCTAAACTTTAATAATACAAATAAATATAATTAGAATAATAGAAACCACTCAATGACTCATTCAAGTCAATTTTTAAGTTTTTTTTACTAAATATTTTAAAAGTAAAAGGATTGTAGTTTTTGTGGTCTGCAGTTAATTATTGTCTCTTATTTAAAGCAAAACTTACATTTTAAAAGTATCTGTCGGCTTCTCTTTATTTGGCACAACTCGGCATATTACAGGAGGGTTAATTACAGATGGTTGTTCCACATGCTGGGCTTCAGGCTCTGGCTGAGGGGCTACTATTGGAGTTTCAGAGCTACAAAAAAACAACCAAATACATAATTGACTTTTTGGGTACCATAAAGCGAGTATAATAACAAAAATTAACAAACTTACTAGTATAGGTTAAAATTCATTGTAATTAAATATTATTTATCAAAAAAAAAAAAACTATTTATAAATACATAATTATACTTTATCTCTTTTGGATCTTCAGACTGTATTTTGACTGCTGCAAGGCCTGAAACTATTGTTTCTGGTTTATCTGGGCGCTGAATTATTGAAGATTCTGGTCTTAGGCGAGCTAATAAAGCCTAATATATAAAAAAAACAAATGTTTAGCGTTTGGAAAAATTACTAACTTTTTAAGACAGCATAATTATTACAATAATAGTTATAAAAATACCTAGTTATATGTTATAGTTATTTGATAAAATATAAAATCAACTGACCCGTCGTCCACGGATGGCAGGATTTACAACAGATGGCGATTGTATTACAGATGACTGGGGCTCTGCCGGTTGCACTACAGGTTTAATTATTGGTGCTTGAGGCTCTGCAGGTATTATAGGTGCTCGAGACTCTGAAGATTGTATTATTGGTGTTCGAAGCTCTGCAGGTTGTACTGTAGGCGGTGTTTGAGGTTCTGTAGATTGATATAAAGAAACTTGAGGTGATGCTATTGGAATTATAGGTTCCACTGGAGGCACGTGTATGGGAGGAATATTAGAAGCTTCTCTTAATCTAGCTTCATTTTGTTTTTGCATTTGAGCTATACGCTCCTTCAAGAAACCTCGACCCGCCATTTCTGAAAAAAAATTATTATTTTTATTTTTAATTCGGAAATAGTATTTTAGTCATATTTCATGAATTGAGTCCATTTATTTTATTCATATTGTTTAATATACGATAGTAATATCAGCAAAAATTAAAAAAAAAACTTTATTATCAAGAAAATGAAAATCCTACTTCTTATCCAGATTATAAGATTAATAAATTTAAAAGGCTAATTTTGTTGAATTTTGGATGGGACTAAGGTAGTGTGACCAGACGTCCCGATTTTGGCGGGACAGTACCGATATTCAAGCAGGTGTCCCGCTAAATATGGTGATCAAATCGGGACAGTAAAATGTACAGACTTTTAATCGACGTCCCGCTTTTGTCCAGATTTCAAACAATAGTTATTTTTTTCTTATTTTCACTTAAGGTGTGTATATTTTGTGTTCCATCAGATCACATCAGTTTATTTTGTACAGTTTCTATAATCTATACTGTGATATCACTTATTATCATAGAGACCTAGACATTGGTTTTTATCACGTTATGATCTGGACTCTCAATCGGCTATAGGTAACCACGGTTTTAGAAATGAAACCCAAGTGGTTACAACTGATAAAAAATCTCTTTTATTGCTCAAATCTATTGCATCAAATGTTAAATACTAAGTATTAATAATTTTTTTATCTGTATTAAATATTTTATAAATTTGTATTAAGTATATTTAAATTTGGTTTTCATCCTACTTTGATTATAATTATAAGTTTACTTGTTATAATATTTAATACTTGTTTTTTAAAGTTACATTTTGTTTTTATAATTTTTTTGTTAAGTATATAATATACTTAATTTTATTAAGGTATTAATAAAATAAATATTTTATGTTCAATGAAAAATTGATTTAAATTTTGATTTTTATCCCATTTTAATTATGATTTTTTTTTTTGCAATGTCTAATTTTAGCATGAAGAAATAAAGGTGTACCCAAAACCAATTATTAAGGGAGATTAACTCCTCCTACGAGTACTATTTTATGAGGAGGGATACCCTACTTCCTCTAGTTCCTTTTGAATACTTGTCCCGCTTTTATAGAATTTTGATCTGGTCACTTTAGACTAAAGCCTAATTTATGTTAACCAATGTAGGGTCACCGACTATTAGATTAAGTCTAAAGTGAGTTATAACATATTTCAATAAGCTGTAAGAACCAAATGGAGTGCAAATTTTTGGACAACTAAGTCATTGGCTACGGTTAGAATTTGTTTCTGTTTATCAGCACAAAGTGTACGGCTTATAATTAATCCATTTTGTTCTCACATTCCAATATGGTAACGAGATATTTATCATTATTCATTACGATGTGGTAACGCTAAGATAAAACGGAGTCAATATTTGAGGGAAAAAACCATAAACAATAACTGTTGATTGTGAAACAGTTACCTAAAGTAATTAATGTGCGTAATGAAAACGCAGCAGCGACAAGTTCTGCTCTTAAAAAGCTTTATTAGGATAAAAAGTGTAAAAAACTGGCGAGGGATGTTTGGCGTTTAACATCAACGACTTCTATTGGATCTTGGGTATTATTCCTTTACATTAAAAAACAAGTCTTACAACCTAATTATCACACTATATTGATATATATTTTTTTTTATGTTGTCAGAACGGTCGCCCGAGTATAGCTACAAGCGACTGAATGTCGAACAAAGCGAATTGGATAGAATAGAGTAAAACAATATGTTGGCAGACATCTAAAACGAGTCTTGTGTTTAACATAAATATCGTCACAGGGTGTTGTTGATTAAAACAATTGGGTCAATAAGCCGTAATCGCTTTCAATCGAGATAACTTGGCTAAATAAACGCCGAATAAACTTACTGTCGTATCGTAGCGCAGACAATTCACTCGGACAAACAATTAAACAAAAAACAAAAAATATGGTTTTCCAGCTGGAACACGGAAAACGTGATTATATGTCATAAGTGAATCACAACGAGAAGAAATGGCCGAACGTGAAATTGGAAAACTCGGGTCATTTAACACAGAGAATAGAGGGATAAAGTATAAACACAAAGATAATTGAATTGTAATAATAATGAATATCTATTACAGTATTATCTGATTTTCTGTGCGCAGTGCGTAGAATAGGCCTATGTATTTTGTGCGTTTGCGTCGGAATGCGGAATAACACCTTGTGATTGGTCAGCTGTCATCGTTGACCTACTTGATGATCGGCAGAGGGCGCGAAATTCAAATTGTAACCGGTTGTAACCACTTGTTCGGTTTTATAAAACTAAATAAACTATAATCACCGATTAGATACAATTTATCTAATATTACATTTTTGCCTATGATAGGTACCTCCCTATTAGGTATTTTTGTTTTTGTTTTTTTATTCATACGATTGTCCATTGATGAATTTGCTATTTAAACATAATATGAAAACAAAGAAAAAAAGAAATCTAGGTTATGTTTTAGTAACGCCATAAACAAGAGCCAACGTGAAAATATATGCTTTTGAAATGGTGGTCAATGCATGTTGGATAAATTAGTGGCCGTTAAGAATTAAGTTTTACACGGGAGTCCCAAAAAATAGAATTTCGACAACCTGTTTTATTGGCCAAAAAATTGTTTATGGATTATATGGTATTAACTCCAAGACTCAAACGAAACAACAAGTTTTGTATTTTTAGTTAGGTATTTAGGATTTGTTATAAGATATAATTGTTTTATATTCGAAACATTAAACACATCAAATCATTTTATATGTTTAATAAATAATTTAAGTACTGCAGTTATATGCGGTATTTGTTATTTTTGGTCATCCTTAAAATTACAAAGCTACTGTTAAGACCAGAATTATTGTTATAATTTTATAATATTTAATTATAACTAATTGTTATTAGTATTTTTTTTTCCAGTACACTTTAAAGGTGTTTTGTGCCAAGTAAATATATACAAAATGATCCTCCTGCGTAAACCCAATGGGTTATAGGTATTAATATTGATTTTATAATATATTATATAAAATCAAAGGTATTAGTGTAATAACTTACTTATAACAAAATTATATAAAATTCACAACACTTTTTTTAATTTTCGACTCAACAGTTGTTTAAGTTAAAACTTATGAATTAAAAATTGAAATTATAGTATACTATTTTATCCAGTTGGTTTGTCAATTGACTTTCTTTGGTTTTTTAAACAAAAATTAAGACAATTACTAAATGAAATTTGTCGACTTACTTCGATATTATTGTAGTTAATATTATGTTGTCGTGGTTGCTTGTGGGCTTGTGAATGCTTAAACGACGATGTTGACAGATGGTCAGGATAGGAATATATTTCCTTGACTAAGCAGCTATAAAACAAGTGGTGTTGGAGAGCAGATGGTTGCTTAAGCACCTGCTTAGGTACCTGCCTAACCTACCAGCCAATAAGAACCGAGTGTCACATAACCTTTTTTAAACAAAATAACAATAAACTATGATGACCCTTTGCCCGACATACCTACCCCGATGTTACCTAAACTCTGAATTTTTGTATACATCCCCACATTTTTGGTACTCGTGGCATAACACAGCCCACCATAGTACACCTACCCTGACAAATCACTAAGTAGGTTCACAAAACTAAAAAAAATACAGAATGTTCCAGCTACTATAACCACTAAAACCACATAATATTATTTTAATGTGATATTATAAATGCGTTAAAGCTTGTAAGGGTAGTTCTTTGATATTATTTACTAAGTGTGTAAGTTATAATAATATTACTTTTAAGGAATTCTAATTCCTAATTTTCAAAATATACATTTTTGATTAAATACACTCGTAATTTGGTTTAGTTACATACATAAGAAAGGTAACAAAAGTTGTGATTTAAAAAGAATATAATTTTGTTGTAAATTTGAAAACATAAGATATCAATTTAACAAATATAATGTATTTATTCAAAAGATTGTTGTAAAAATTAAAGTCCTGCAACGCAATTAAGAACAGTGAATATTATTCTGCATGTGTTCCTTGTAAGTTATAATACCTACTACTATATCATTTATACATTTCAATATAATGTAAATATACTACACTATGTTTTGAACATTTTACCTGAATATTTTACAAGGTGACAGAAGTGAAATCAATCTTCATGAACCCAAGTTAACGGTTACCTACCTAGATTTACTCGAATTGCCTACAAGTTTTTACATATTTTGTACCCATAAAATAAAATGTACAAATTCTAAGATGAGAGATTGAAAAAAATGTGTTACACATATTTGAAAAAAGCTATTATACATTTACATTTTGTTCTTCATTATGGCTTTACAAACTAAAAAATCTTTTACATATAAATAAACGTTGATTATATATTGTTATTTATATTTATACGAATCTTTACTTTCATTTTTTAAATTCTAAAATATAATGTACTCTCTCTAATAGTTGAAATTAGAAACTTCATGTTATTTGGTTTTCCGTTTTCAAAATAATAAAGTATTTATACATTCTTGAACTAATTCTAAACTCAACCAATGGCAACACCTTAAAATTAGCATAAAAGCTTAAACTACGTTCTTACAGCGAATAAACCAGAAGTGTCGCATAAAAATATATTTTGATTTGTGTTAGTTAGATAATATATTTAGTACCTATGACATTTGAAAAAAATATTTACACATTTATACAAAATTAGTTAAACGGTAATACTTATTGTCTATAACTTATTGCAGTTGAAACTGCAATTTAGACCGAGATAACAACGACTACTATTTTTTTTGGACAACCTAAGAAATAGGAGGAAATGTAATATATTTACAAAGTCCATCGGATTGATGAAAATTAAAAATTCAAACGCTGAAATATTTTTTAAAAAATGTTCTTCGGTCTACATATTTATGGAGCTAAAATTATATGTTTCCATTTGGAAAAACGAAGTCTGTGTTTCTTTGACGTATATGGTATGAAGATACAAATTTTCTATAATATATTTTAAAGGTATTGAAAAATATAGTAAAATATATACTAACAAGAATACAAAAAAAATAATTTTCAAAATACCCATATTTTCTGAGTAAATTATTGTCTTATATCAGATGGATCAACCTGTATATAAATTACAAATTCTATAGGTCAAAATTTCGGGCTAGGTTCGTTACAATAAAGCGATAAATAATATGCATCTAACGGCTAACCTACTTTTATAAAATAAAAATATGTTATTTGTATAATTTTATAGGAGGTTATAAGTTCAAAAATGTCAAATCTAAACCGTCTAAGCCCCGATTGGCGGGAATAACGGTTAGGTAAGAGAATGTTCACTAAATATTTTCAAAATGTATATTGTGATGAAAGTCCTGTGGACGTACCTCTGTGCTCCGCGTGGCCCCGGCTTAAGTACGTCATTGGCTATAACATTATCGCTTTTGAGTATCGGTGAAGATAGTAACGTGCAGCAAAAGACACCGTGCATGAGATACTTTCTTATGGGACTAATAGCTTGATTGAAAAATATGAAATTCACTTTTTTTGTAATTTTAAAAATTGATTATAATACAATGTTTAGCACAAATCAAACGATTCGTTTTACAACTGTAGTGTATAAAAATAAATACAAGCATAAACTTCGCAGTTGAGCATAACTTGAACTAGACATACTTAACTTAATATACTTCGAAGCAATTGTGGTTACCAATCTAAACGCCGTGATTATAATATTGTAGTCCTAATAAATCTTATCCTATCCTGATTCCTGTTACAATAAAATCGTAGTATATTAAATTAATTTATTATTAAACTATAGTTTGAATATAGTAGAAATGGATAGCCCTTAATTTAATGCTCATTTTGACATTAATATGTCTTGTCTGGGGGTCAAAAAAAAAATGTATGTAATGAAAAAAATATAATGTTGTCTGGTGCACTTCCCGTGGAGCTAGAAACTTAAAATTTGAATCATAGCTATTCCTTATAATGGTCTCATGCAATGTATGAATTTAGGAGTTTAAACTCATCCCTTCATAAGCCATAACTTACAATTACTTGTTGATATAAATAAATAAACCTCGAGATCAAAACATAAGGTCAGTAATATGTTTTATGGCCTGCCATAAGACATATTAATGATCTTATATTTTTCCCATAAGGGAAAGATTCGATTTGATTTATACTTTGTAAACACCATTTTTGAAACCTACAGTGATCAGTGTTAAACAATAAAATATATGTTATTGTGATAAAGTCATTTTAAAAACATTTCATGTAAACATAATTTGTTGAAAATTATTTTGCTCATGGATAATTATGTTAATAAAAATGTATTATGTTAAACATATTTTTGTACTTAATAGTATTTTCAAATATTTAGGTAAACGTTACTAATCAAGACGAGTTTTGGTGGAGATGGACTGAAGAGGTTAGTTATTATAGTTGTAAGTGTTTATGACAAATATGTTAATGCTAAAATATAGATTATGGCCTAAATTGGAAAAAATTAAAAAATCACTACATTATTGTGCTTATAATGACGATGTTTAATTTTTTTTTCTTAAAAAAAAAAAGTGATAACAGATTTTTGAAATCAGTTCAATTTTTAGACTCCAAGTTCAGAAACTAACTCTTAAAAGTCAAACTAAAGAAGAAGTGTAGACTCTTTTTAGGGGAAAGCCTTGATAATATTATTGTTATTGCAGTTCGATAAATTTATACTTAAAAAATTAGAACATAATTAGAACATTTCTTTCTTAGTTATTTTGTGTCGGTGTTAAAAAAGAAATATAAAAACACATCATTCTAAAACCAATAACTTCTCAGCTCCGCATCAAAGCTAAAATATTTATCAAGACATACATATTTAATAAACAAATACGGTTTAAAATTAAAACATATTGAGCTGAAATGACATATCATTAATTTTTATTTTATAAACATTAGACAAAAAATACAGATTAAAAGTTGAACGCTGTGTGTGTCTTCTTGATAAGACCAATAATTATATTAAATACCAAACAAAATAACAATTTTATTAAAATTACAGAATACTCTATTAAAATAGGTAGGTACTAAAAAAAAAAAACGATTTAAAAGGTATTTGACCAAAGTAAAGTTAAATATCAGTACTCAAATATCTATTACAGCACTGTCTGTG